GTTGTTCCTGCTTTAGTGCATGCATGAAATGAAGTATTGTTGTAAGGTTTCCTACAGTAACTCGATCAATGATCATAGATAATCAGATGAGAACACCTTCTTTAGAAAACTGGGTCTGCACCAAGAACTGAGTTGAAACAATATATGATATTAATAATTTTAACAGAGATGAATACTGACGTAGGTAATATGCCTGTCGAATGGCTGTTAAATACAGTCGTAATAATTGGTCTCAGTGCATTTTTTCAACAATTAAATAATTTCCATTGTATTGCATTAAGAACACAATATTCAGCGAAGAGATTCTTTTTAACAACGAACTTATTTTCAAGCTGTATAGTCGTATATATGTATGTATAAAGCTAGTGACTTGCTACAGGACGCAGCATATTGGAGTTCTAGTGAGAAGTCGTGAGAATTGGGGTCAATCCAGTCAAGTATGAGGATGGATGTCCCACCAATGACATTGGTTGGTTGCAGCACTAAATCACGAATTTGTTGGAGTTAGAATTCATGCACTGGCCATTTAGGAGTCGGGTTCCAGTGGTTGAATGGTATACGAGCTCGCTGGTCTTGTGAACGGAAGGTCCTGGGTTCGAAACCCAGTTGGTGAGTACTGTCTATGACTCTCAAACTAGGACGCAACAGCTGGCTGACCAATATTCCCTGGTTTTCAATGGTTCTCTAATTGATATCAATCCGTGATGAACTCGTAAAAAACAAAACTAACCCTTACAAACCAACAATAGAACATATATATATATATGGGTTTTAAGAAATTATATCCCGTGAGGGAAGTAGATCAAAGTTGTGAATACATGAAATAATAATATTATGAAATGCAATTAAAATATTTGTGATTATAATCATAGTTAAATATGAAGTGTCAAGTGGCAAAGCAATTCATGTCATATATAGAAAGGTTCATAAGATATAAAGATATTGGAGACGGGTATATAATTATAGGATTAGTAGGCTAATGTTAGATAACATGGTGTGAAATTTGATAAGATGAAATTCAATATTGCAAAAGACTTTTGGATTTAGAATGACAAACTGGGTAATCGGAAGCAATTCAAATTGAGAATAGTAATAATAACAGTAGGAATAATCATTATTATAATCGTAGTAATGAGGGAAAGGTATATAGATTGAGTAAATAAACAAAATAAATAAATGTCTTTCCCTCTAAGGCCGAGAAAGAAGTAGGGACTGTGCACACTTTTTTGTACACAAAGGTCTGACTTAAAGTCATGAATTGTCAAAGCCTCCAAATTATTGACAGAAATATAAGCGTTCTAAACTGGTCCCTGACTCCGTTCCAAAGAGAACCATATTCATAAATTTGGATTTCAGACGTGATCAAACTGCGGATATGCCCCAAAACCTCGTCTGTGAATCAGTCAGTAAAATGTTCTTTGTTGCAAAATTACAAATGACGTTCTCCAACTCTGTAAAAGATAAGCTCTATCGTCTGATCACCTCCATGTACATCTATCAGCACAACTGCTCTTGTGAAGCAAGGTATATTGACCGTAGCCACAGAACCCTATCCACAAGGAGATGAGAACATGTTCCAGCTTGGTTTTACAAGGCAGAAAGCAAGGGTGTGCGAAGCTCTATTCTAGACCACCGGTTCGACTCCTGTCACTCTACCGGATCTGACCATGATTTTAAGATTATCCACCGAATCTATGCAAACTTGACGCGTATTCTTCGTTATGCGATTCTAAAGACAGCGGAGGCTTTGGTCATTCATGACTTTTAGTTAAACCTTTGTGTACAAAAGAAGTATGTACAATCCCTAGTTCTGCCTTGGCCGTAGAGGGATAGATATTTATCTATTTATGTATCTTGTTTATTTAATTAATCTATGCACCTTTCCCTCAATACTATGATTACCATTATTAATATTATTATAATGATGATTATTATTACCATTCTCAATATCAGTTGTTTCCACTCATCCCATTTGTCATTCTAAATCCTAGAAACGTTTACAATATTGAATACTGTCTTATCAAATTTCACACCATCTTTTATCATGTTTCATAATTGTATACTAATCCTATAATTATACACCCCTTTCCAATATCTATACGCCTTATGAATTATTCTTTATATGATATGAATTGTTTCGCCACTTGAAACTTGATATTTAAATACGATTATAATGACAAACATTTTAATTGCATTTCATACTACTGTTATTATTTCATGAATTCACACCTTTGATCTACTTCCCTCACGGGATATAATTTCTTAAAACCCATTAATATATATTTAATATACCATTGTACAGCTTGATAATAAATTCGTTTTTACATGCACATACGAGTGGCACAGCTTGGTAGCTTGTCTTTCGCTTGAGCAATCATAGTGACGAAGGAAATTTGGAGGCAGTATAAGTATAATGAGCATCTTCCTTCATGGTTCGGAAAAGGCTAAATAAAATCTATAAGAAGTTATATTTTGACTCATCTGATTGATAGCGGTCACTATGTGGACAGAAATTGTGCCTTCAAAGTTATCTATTGCATTCTGTCGAGCTTTTTGAACAGAATTTGAACCCACATTTTCCACATGGCCAAAGCTGTAGGAATTAATTCGAGAGAAAAGAAGTTTGTTTTATCTTTGCCTCTCCCTTGGCCTAGGTAAATACTGATCAAAACCCTCCCAACCTTTATCATTTTCCATTTCCTTCGTACTTTTATGATATTTATTTAAACCCTGATTATTTGTCCACTTCACCTTTAGTATTACGTAACCTTTAAGATTTGACCTAATTTCTTTGTGGTTATAATCATAGTTAAATGTCAGACCCTCTGCACCCTCTTTATTCACAACTATCTCCTTGTATCTCATCAGGTAGACCGAGAAGTCAATATAAGAAATTATATGCTCGTGCCACTAAGGACAAAAATTCTACAATACCGTATTTAGCCCGTATTTTATGTGATGAAGACTCTGTTAGACGTGAAACATATAAGTTACTATGTAATTAGCATAGTGAATCGACCCTTTCTTTGTTCATCTTTCTGTAATTCTATGGTGTCACCCTTTCTATCGCTTAATTATAACTTTGCTATTTTTATTTTAGTTGTTATTACTATTATTACTATAATTTTATACTTTATGCGTATTTTTCTCCTTATCGTATACTGTAATTGCTACATAGCTGGTATAAAAACTTTTTTATCATTATTATGTATTAATTATTTCGTTTATTTATTTTTTGTTGTTGTCGTTTTTGAGTAAATTAGATGCAGTATTGTACTGAATGCTGAAAATTCCTTGCTGTATCAGTAGTACTGTTTTTGGAATAAAGCGAATTATTATTATTATGTTGCAAAACAATTAGTGCCATATTTAGAATAATTCATAAAATGCATAGATATTGGAAAGGGTGCATAATTATAGGATTGGTAGGCTAATACATAACACATTACATAAGATGGTGTGAAATTTGATAAGATGGGGTTGAATATTCCATTATGGGTAAAATTTATTTCGATAAAGTCCCACAGTGTTATCCAGTATTATTTACTGACGACGTTTCATAATAAATTTTACCCATAATGAAATTATACTGTAGCACATTCTTTTATCAAGAATTCAGTATTGTGAAAAATATTTTTGGGATTTAGAATGCAAGGTGGGACAAGCGGAAACCATTCAGACTGAAAATAGTAATAATAATAACAATAATGATAATAAAAGTAATAATAGATATAGAAATGAGCGAAAGGTACATAGATTGACTAAATAAACAAATAAATAAATAAATTGGATGGAGGATTTCATCATGAGCTGACTTCAGTTAGAGAACCACTGGAAAACCTGGGATTACTGGACATCTGTTTTGTCCTAGTTTGGGATTCTTCAGCAGTACGCACTCACTGGGGTTCAAACCCAGGACCTTCTAGTTACAAGGCGAGCTCGTAGACCATTGAACCACTGGCACTTGACCCAATGGCCCATGAATACTAACGTCTGCCAATTCACGACATAGCGCGACTTTTTCGCAAAAATAAATAAATGTCTATCCTTCTACGGCCAAGGCAGAAGTATTTATTTTGATTTTGATTTTTTATTTTGATTTACAGCTTGATTCCACACCGTATTTTCAGTACAAGTGTGGAATTTTCAGCATGGATATCGGTAGCCCAAATTCAGGCCGACCATAGATATCGGGTGTGCGCCGGCAGGGGATCGAACTTCGGACCATGTGCATGGTCGGCGAGAGTCCTAACCACTGAACCACCGACGCGCATACTTATTTTGTATACACAGGTCTTGGTTAAAGTCATGAATTGCTCAGCTCTCCACCGTCTTTAGAAGTCTGTTACTAAGAAAAGGTGACATGTTCGGTGTGTTTGGCATGGATTTGCTAGATGATCTTAAAATCATGGTCAGGGTTGGTAGAGGGAGAGGAGTTGATCAAGTGTTCTACAATAGAGCTTCGCAAATCTTCCCTTCTCCACTGTAAAATCATGCTGGAATGTGTTCTTGTATCCCTATGGAAAGTGTCCTGTAGCTACGGCCAGTGTACCTTGTTCCACAAAAGTAGGTGAACTGATAGATTCACATGGAGATTTTGTTGTTGAATTATTGAATTGTCTCTACATATACACATATCACTCACTAACTTCGTTATTCTTATTGCCACCAACACAAACCCTTATTATTATTTCTATTTTTTGTCATTATGATCATCGTTATTAATGACGTTCAAAACATTCACCGCTTGACTATTATTATTGATAAATTCGTTGTTGAAAGGAGTCTCTTCGTAGAATATTGTATTCGTTGTGCATTTTGTCAGTGGAAATAGAACCTTTATGAAATACATTTAGCAAAACAATTATGTGTGTGTAATGTGATCAGGTTTTTGATCAACAATTTTCCAGCATTCTCTGATACAAATGCATCTTAATTAGTCCTCTGTTTTCCACTTACATAATTCTGGTTTGTTATTCTTTTGTTTTTATACCATACAGCGTACACGACGTAGCGGAAAATCAAAATATGACATTCTTCATTTAAATGGGTAAGTTATAAAAAAACTGCTGAACAATCCATTTGATGTCACATAACCACTGTTGCTTTTAATTCTTCACTGATTGCTGAAATTGTTTCTCGAAAGTTGATCTGTAAGAATTAAATTTGTTTTGACGAGTTGACCACAGGTTCATATCAGTTAGAGAACCATTAAAAACCAGGAATTTAAATAAAGCAAGAACAACAGTGGTTTATGCAAAATAATATGGTACCATCATTTATTCCGTCGGCTTCTCATCAGCTGCTTACAGCCTAAATAAATTGTGAGGTTTACGTACAGAAAAGTTTTAACATACTTGCAAATTTTACATGATGTCAGTTGACAGAAGGTTCTGGACTTAGTGAACAGTACTGAGAAAATTGTGCTTATATAGTTTTTACACAGGCAGTTCAAGTCAAAATAAATGTATGCATACAATGGTAAAGGAGTTACGTAATAAAGACGAGAGGTGAGTAAGATGATGAGTAACTAATAAATTTGGTAACGATGTACTGAGTTCAAATCACGTCAGAGAAACAAGAGACAAGCAATATTACAGATTATAAAAAGGAGGGCTGAGGTTAAAGACAAAGATTACGTAATCAGAGTAGAGAATAGAGACATGCAGTTACCATGGCAAGGAAAGACTAACAACTGCTTCTTTCTGAACACATAAATCTGATTTGAAGCGTTTGATAGAAATTGCTTCGGCAAACTTGAGGAGAATGGAGCTCCTTTGTCTATTGATAATTTTGAAGGATTTCTCGATTTCCACCTCATGACCCGTGTCGAGGAGATGCCTGGCGATGGCACTGTTTAAAGAATTTGTTCCCTTTAGACGTAAGCTTTTTGGCACATGTTCAGAAAATCGTAGATGTGCCCTTCTTTCTGTCCTTCCAATGTAACTGCTCCCGCAGATACATGTAAATATGTATATGCAGTTGGAGTTCACATGAGAAGGATATCTATCGATTTTTGATAGCACCAAAGAGCAAGTTGTTCGATAGACGGGAACGAGCTTAGCTGCAGGATAGGCTATGGCTAGTGATGTGCTCAGCCTTCTGTTGATCATCGCTGTAATGTTTTCACCTTTATAATCAAGCTCAAATTTACATGTGAAGTTTAAACCTAATTAGCCACTTAGAGATAAATTTTATCGAATTAATGACCCAACTGATTCATTTAAGAAAAATAATATAATTTACCAAATCCTATTTAATGTTGACTGTGAGGTGAAAAACATATGTGGAATTTGTGGATTCGGGTCATTTAGATCATCGGAAAGCATGAAATTAAGATTGGTCTAGGATGATTGGCCTTGCTAAGTCAAATAACCTAGTAAAAACAGTGTTCTGCCATTGCATTGCATTCACTTGCATGTAATCACACATTAAGGTAGAATAGTGTGAAGGCATTAAAAAGTAGTGTAGTTAGGTGGAGAGATAGAGAGGTTAGTAATGATGTTCGGAAATGCGATGATGAACCTGTGTAATTATGTGCCCGATGTAGCTGGCTCCACAGCTGCAGTCATACTGGTAGATACACATAGAGGTTTGTAATTTGGTTTGTCGTGTTGTCGTGTTTGGTTGTTTATTTGCATCTCTATTTATCATTTTTGTTGACTTGGAATTCGAACTTCCTTGTCCTCTGATGATTTGGTTTTTATTAGCTGGTAAATGTGATCTTTCGAGGTAATGTGTTTATTAATTGCTAATCTACTTCACTATCAGGGCTCTAGGAATTCCCTGACTGCACTTTTTCCTCTATTCGAAATTTCTACATTTTCCCAATCAAATTGGTGTCCATAAATATACACAACGTATTTCAAGCCACAAAACTCACAAGAGAAAAGAAAATTAGACTACAAAACTTCATTCTTAGATGTCGTAACCAAGAGAACTAACACAGGAAATTTCACAACACAAAGATATAGAAAATCAACGCATACTGACGAAATACTCAACTAAAATAGTAATAACCTAACCCAATTACTCACAAAAGAAACTGTATACAGACATTGTTTAAAAGAGTTCAAATACACTGCATTTCTCCTGCCGTGCAGAAGAGAATGGAGGATAAATACCTCATAACCGTTTCAAAAAGAATGGATATCCTCACAATTTCATCAAAAAGTGTTTAAACTCGAGTCATAACACCAACAACAAGCAAAAGTCAAAGGCTATAAGAAAATTCATCCCACAATATATAAAAAATATCTCTGAATTAACAACTAGAATATTAAGACCATTTGAAATAGATATTAGCACACAAACCAGTCAGCCAGAACAATCACATCATTCGATATTGTGCAAACCAAAATGTCTAACAGGAAAAGAAGATAGAGACATCAATGCCATTTACAAAACAAATTGTGTGAACTGCAATAAACAATACGTCGATCGAATTGGGCGTCCTCTTCGAATCCGAATCAAAGAACAAAAATAGGCTTTAAAAGACATGATATAAATTCTTCCATATCATTGCATGTGGATAATTATGGACATGAATTTTATTGGGATTATGTAGAAACAACAACCAATCATGACAGGAGTCACCAGGAGATACAATTACATCATTAATGGAGAATTTGAATGAAGTCATTTTATACTCAAACCTATGATGAAACGATGGATGACGAAAGCTCCGCAGTTATAGCACAATTCATTCAAAATACATGATCTTCTCTAATTAAAATTCATCAATTATTGAAAGTATTTCTTCCTTCTACATTTATATGATAATATCGTTTGTTTTTTAAAATTTCAGCTTGGGAAACGGAACTACAGTTGAAGAACGACTTGAAATCGGTGTCACAAATGACGTAATGGAGCAACCATATTTAGATTTTATTCAATGGTCACCAAAAAGTGATCGTTTGGTAAGCCGAACAGTTGTTCTTTGCTTTTTCTCCTTATTGCTTTTTCTGTACATAATTTACAGATTCATAAGGGAAGCTTGTTTTCAGATTATTGCTAATAACAAAAAGTAAAAGGAAACATGAAATTTGTGTGACTTTGTTTAATAACGAGTTATAGTACCTATTCGACAGAATTCCATTTATTATTGAGTGTTAAAGTGGCCAAACTAGATCCCGACAAATGCACATTAAATCAGATTTCCAGTTAACTGTAGCAAACATCTAATATGCCATTGTTTACTTTGGTTAGTTCAATGTGTCTGGTCCTTTGTTTGGTGCAGACTAAATTCTATCAGCCAGGTTTGCAATGTGGCAACATCTGTAACTGCAGCATTGGGTGACGCAAGTTCAAATCTCAGAAGGGATATGAGTTCCTTAAAAAAATATCAGATACACCTTGCTGACAGGTGAGTGTCGACCAGCACGAAACCGAGATCAAAGGCTTCCTCCTGATTGCCTCCAGCCATCCAATAAGTTATTATTCATATGTTATAAAGGTAGAGGCTACTATTATGAAATCAACAGAAATTCATTTCCAAGTTTTGCAAACGTATTAGCCATTGTTCAGATGACAGTATGGGATCTCCTTGATAAAGGTATTCAAGAAGGTAAGCATATTTCCATAAGACTACAGACTACTGATTGTTTGAGATGAGTGATTGTATACCACTGATATCAATCAGCAGTGCTTGATAGGCAGATTGAGGTGATTTCACTCGTTTCACGCAGGGCTCGTCATCGGTATCTCTAGCAGGTTTGACTCACCTCAGAGAACCGAATCAGTTCAAATTACCCTATATCTGAGTGGCAGCTTAGGCAAACTGGTGATATCATAAATTAAATCCTCACATTGCAGATTAACTGGCCATTTTGCGATGTATTGGAACCGAGTACACCGCTTATGAGTTCGACCTCAAATGAGTGAAATGGCTGTACGGTGTTAAGGTTGCCTTTATCTGGTTAGCAAGCACTGCTGGTTGGTATGTATGATGTACAGCCTCTCATCTCAATCAAATAACAAGCATTAGTTTAAGGAATAATAATAATCACGACAATAACAATTTACAGCATGGAAATTTCTTTTTTTCTTTTTTCTTTTTCTTTTTTCTGCGTTTCTTCTACATATTGCAATGGTTTAGCTCTGTTTATAATTATACAAATGTATAAAATGTTAAAATATTGCTCATCAATAGGAAAAAATAAAAACCCCAACAAAATCACACCATTGCTAGGTCATAGTGAATAATAAATAAATAATATAACAAATCACACATGCAATAATATGCATCATTACATTTTATAGTTTAGTTAATGATTTAAAAGCTGTAAAAGTTCTTTCCTGATATTTGTCTCTTCACACAATACTCGTGACAAATATGGTGCGGTTGAATTTTTATATTTTGTAGTACGAGCATAAATGTTTATGAAATTTCTTCTGGTCTTACCCGAAAAGATACAAAGAAACAATTGTGAATAAAGAGGATGTTCACTATCAGACAAGATAACTTGAGCTAAGTGCTTACAAGAATTCATATGCCTATTGACAACAGTGTCGGTTAGTTGAGTCAAAGGGATAGCACTGACACTACTTACAGCCTTCATTGTTCTTCGTAGTATTATATGGTCTTTCTTGAGTAGCCCACGGAAGAATAATGGAGGACAATAAAGAATGATGGGCAAAACACATGAATTAATAAACTGTATGAGAAAACATTGGGTTATACCTGAGTGCCTCAACTTCTTTACGTAATAAGTCAGACGGAAAACTTTCTTAGCAAGTATAAGAATATGAGACGACCAGCAAAGGTTTGAAGAGAAACTAATGCCAAGATAAGAAACACTTGACTTACTCTCTATCATGTTACCATCAATATTACAACAATCATGAGATTCGATCAATCCATGCATGTCTTTTTCACTTCTCAAGCTGAAATCAATAGTATAACATTTAGTTGGATTTAGTTTAAGACCATTTGAGCCAAACCGATCCTTAACTTCAGCTAAGAAGAAGAATGTAAAGTATGAGTACAGTTCAAACATCAGTTGTTAGATTTTGTGCCCTGGCTATTTTAGTTATGAATTGAGTGAGTAATACTGATTTAAGTAGTATAAAGAAAAGCGTTTTCAGGAAAGCAGTGGTGTTTTATGCGACAATGGTGTTTATGCTGAATAAGAAATGCCAGCAGGTTATAACTGTGAGAAAATCGAATCACCACTACACAATGACGAACAAAACATCCCGAATACAAAAAATCACATGGTAAGCTAATAATGATTCAACCTCTTGTAATACCCATAGGTTTGCATTGCCAACGACTCTCGTTTTTCTGACATGCACTATATTTTGTCCCACCAATCGCTGTACTTGTTGTCATCTGTCTTGTTTCCGACAGTAACAAATTGGTTAGTTCAATGGTCATATCTTTTATTTATGGATCAGGTCACTATGGCTAATGAATGGTCTAGGAGCCCACCTTGTAACTAGAAGGACCTAGGTTCTAACCTCGGTGTGTGCGTCCTGCTGGAGAGTTCCAAAACTGATACAAAACAGTTTTCCAGTAATGAACGGTTCAACGGTTTTCTAACCGACGTCTATGCTCTGCAACGTTAGTTTAACTGAATTGTTATTTTATCGATCGCTTTGGTACCCCTTTTTGGCGAATTTTGACATTTTTATCGCCGAACTATATGAAATTCGTTGACAGACTTTTGCATGTCTAAGATTAAGTGATTCCAGGGCGTGCATTTAAACTCGACAGAAACTGGCTTCTTCGCATCTCAGTTACACTCACAGTTATATAGGCAACAAACGTACATATATATCAAGAGATAATTTAAACAAACATAACCTTTGATTGGTTGTCTCGTTCACACTTTACTCTTTCTTCTGTATTTTAGGCTTTTGTCTATCGAAAAAATGTTTATCTTCTTGTGAATCCATTCGATTTAGACAAAAGGAGAATTATAAATGTAACACATTCCTTACCACAAGATAATTGTCTATACGGAGTAACGACGTGGCTGTATGAAGGTGAGTGAGTGAATGATTGTATAGGTGATAAAGTGATTTTTGTTAACTTTAATTCAGCAGACCATTAACTCTCTTTATGAATTTTGACAAAAATTACTATTTTTCCAATGAATAAAACGAATTTAACCACTGTTTACAGTAAAGGGTGAGTTATAGTGAATCCTTTGAAGAGTAATACGCGAGGACATATAAGACACTCAGTTTGATGAGGTGGAGAGATTAATATGCCTCTAAATATTTATGTTAATGGTAGGTTCAGCTATGAACAGACACCGTTCAATGCAAAACTAAAGACCATAAAGCACTTGGGAATTTTCATTTCTTTAATCTTTACCATTCCAGCTATGCTTGCTTACGATAATATAGCAGGTTAAAATGCAAACCTTAAAATTTTGAAGCCAAGGTTAGACATGTTATATGAGAGTCATAGGCGAGCGGTAGTGAAGATTACTAGATCCGGACATGCTTAGGAGATTTATTTTCATTTTTGATGAAAGTGTCTTTGAAATAACCTGACAATTCTACAAATCCAAGTACTAAACTTGTACAGAGAAGGAACAAACATTGGTGCAGAGTAACACGGATCCATTTTGCTTCATTAGCTTTCATCAGTTGTATACAGTCCATAATCTTTTAAAAATATGAGTCAGTGTAAAATCTGACATATTTTATCTATCAAAAGGCATATTGTAAGAGCTGCATAGTGAGATAAAACATCGGAATAGTAAGGTAGCTGAAATAATACGGTGTAAATATATATAACTTGTTAAAAAGAAGTTTCTCGAAAACTAGTCGACAAATTTGCTTTTAGGGTGGTTACAATTACTTAGTTAGATAAGAGAAGATCAAAATTCGATGTGCAAGAGGTCAGATGAAAGGGTGATGATATAATACAGTGAGTAGAACTCCTAAAATCAATAGAAATTAACTCTTCCATATGTCAAACAGAAGAATCTAGACGACAAGGGGGGCGTTGAAGGGATAGCTTAATGAAGTTAGAAGATCAAGAGTTATTAAAAGAAGAGTCACCAAGGTAATTACAGCCCAACAACAGATTCATTTTGGACACACAGGTCAGGTTTCAGTCGTTTTATCATGACAGCCTGAGCAAACTTAAGATGACTCGAGCTATTGTGTCTGTTAGTTATTTTGATTTATGCCAGTGCATCTACTCAGCGTCCAATGTCTATCAGGTGTTTGGTAATTGAAGAGAATAAACTGCTTGGCCCACTTAACCGGGAGCTCACTGGTGCATATTAGAAGAGTATGAGGTAGGTCGTTCTTTCAGTTCTTCCAATTCAACTGCTCTTGCAGTTTTGTGTGAACTGGTATACACAGTTGGAGGCGACATATGAGGGCTACTTGTCGATCTTTGACTGCACCAACGAGGAGGATGTTCAGAGCAGAGAGACTAGTGCAGTGTTTGTCTCACCATGACACTTTTATGAAAGACTTGTTGATAGACAAAATTAAGTCAAATTTTAAGGTGACTTTTATTTATTAAAGAATATGGACTGTATGCAGCTGATGAGAACCAACGGAGTAAAATGGATCTATGTTATTCTGCACCATTGGTTTTACCTTCTCTTCTTGAATTTACAAAAGCCAATTCTTACAACAAAGATCTAAATTTCTGCAAGAAAAGTTAAAGTACTTCTTAGCAAAAGATAACACTCACCGCTTGAGATCGTGCATGCAAAATTTGCTTCTTGAAGTGAAACGATGCAAAGGACCTATAAGCATTTATATTTCCTTTGGTAACCAACCAACTGACAACCTATTGCCCAACACATATGCAAAAGGAAATGGAGGACATGAACTGAACACGTGCTACGGAGATCACGGAGTGACATCACTTGCAAGGCCGTCGAATAGAACCCAAATTAGGCGGGCAAGTTGATCGTCTGAAGTTCACACGGGGGAGAGATTTATGGGCAGTCATAAACCCAGATGAAAAGGACTGTAGAGAGCAGACTGAAGGGAAGACGGTCTGTTAAAGCCCCATGTTTCACTCAAGATCCACAGGAATAATAATAATAAACGCCTCATGTAATTTTATCCGTGTATGTGTAAGAGAAATATATATAAGAGTAAAATACGAGCATTACTGTTGTGTACTTGATACGGTGCAAAATGGAACGGTTATTTCTAATAAATGGCATTTATCAAAATAATATTGCCGGCCAAATTAATAAAATCTTCTTAAAAGAAAGGTTTCCCGCCATACATAAAAGTTGAAAATTGAACATAAAGTCTATATATACCAGCCGTTTCCAAGAAAACTCTGTAGGTTAGTAGTGAGGCTGATCTTACAATTCTCAAAAACTGACTTTTTAACAGTTTCTTGTAAGCTGTCATGTACAGTTGTGGAATCACATTTTCATTCAATGTTATAAATATTACATCAGACCACTTCAACTTTTGTCATTCAGTAAATAAGCGTCTTTAGAATGGATTACATGACTAGCTTTTTATTACTTCATGTTCCCTCTGGAACATAGGGCTTCAAGCTAGAGGCTTGAAGTTTCTGTAGCAGTGTTTATTTTTACACGATGAGGTTGCTAGCCTCATGCCCGAACTTTCCTCTTCACCAGCTTTAGTTCTGGCTTAGCGAGGTAAAGGAGTGCGCCGGCCGGGGATCGAATCCCGGACCATGTGCATGGTCGGCGAGCGTCCTTACCACTATGCCACCGACGCACACATGATTAGTATACATGTTTATTTCTCCAAGTGTATTTCACAGCAATGTTCAGCGCATTTTAGCCAGACAAATTAGAAGGATAGTCAGCAAAATTGACTGCTTTGGCACTCCTAGATATCTTAACCTTCCTGACACATTCTTCTGAGTAATTTACAGAAACTTGTTTTGATTCCTATTTCCTCCCTTATATTCTGTACAATACTTTGACAACAATAAAGTTTTCTGAATAACATCTCAGCTGCTCAGGCGCGGAATTATGCTCCTGTCCATCTCAAGCAAAATACTAAGCCGCATCCTCCTGGAGGGAATCAAACAAGACCTGGATGAAAAACTCCGACCGGAACAGACCGGATTCAGGAAAAACAAGTCATGTGTTAATCAAATCGACACATTACGGATCATCATTGAACAAAGCCTGGAATGGCAGTCGCCTCTCTATCACAACTTCATCAACTTTGAAAAGGCATTTGACAGCGTCGATCAAGAGGTGCTTTGGCAACTACTTCGCTACTATGAGGTGCCATCGACAATTATACATCTTATCCAACAGCTGTACGACAATGCTGCATGACAAGTAATCCACAACGGGAAACTTATGGAATCCTTCGAAGTGAGGACAGGAATAAGACAAGGCTGTCTACTATCGCCAATGATTTTCCTGATTGCAGTAGACTGGATAATGCGACAAACGGCGGGGAATGAGGAAGCAGGCGTAAAATGGACTCACACAAAATACTTGGAGGATCTGGACTTCGCCGAACTGGAAGATATGCAGGCGAAAAGCAACAAGTTGGCAGAAGAAGCATCCAGAGAAGACAGGACTTCAGGTGAACACAGAGAAAGCAGATGTGGTGCTGAAGATTCCTGGGCAACACCACCAACAGCAACAACAACAACAGACAACAATCTGCACAAATGGGAAGAACCTGAAAGAAACAACCTCCTTTACCTACCTAGGAAGCATCGTTTCAATTACAGGCGGAACTGACGAGGATATCAAAGCAAGAATCGGAAAAGCAAGACAAGCTTTCACTACTCTTAAGTCTGTGTGGAGGTCAACAGCACTTAGCATCAAAAATAAGATCCGGATTTTCAACTCCACTGTGAAGTCAGTCAGTGCTACTATACGGATCACAGACTTGGCGCGTCATGAAGAGAATCTCAAAAAAACTTTAGACCTTCGTTAACAGCTGTCTTCGCTCAATACTCAAGATCCGATGGCCAGAAGAGATCAGCATTGGGGGCCTGTGGAAGCAAACCAACCAGGAACCAAATGCGAAACAAATAGGCAGGAAGAAATGGAGATGGATTGGCTGGCCGTACTCTGAGGAAACCATCAAGTGACATCACTAGACAAGCCATTGCTCGAGTGGAACCTGGCCGAATGGAAAGCGGCGAGTTGGTTGTCAGTGCAAGGGTGATTTGGAGGAGGTCATGTGAAGAGAAGATGAAAACGTGTGAGCAGACCTGGAGCCAGGTGAAGACTCTAGCAGAGAACCGAACGCAATGGAGACGCACGGTTGAAGCCCTATGTTCCGCTAGGAATTAAAGGAAACAATAATAATATTATAATAATTTTTAAGTGGATATATCACTGTACAGCTTCGGAAAATTATTCAGCTAAGAAACCCATCCCCAAGTTAATTCCCCACTTGTAATTTACATAGTTTGAGAAAAACGTTTTAGGTCGTTTAGTTTGAACCATGTCAGAAAGTTCATTTGAGAACCGGATATTGCTGGGTGGGAATGGCTGAGACAGAATTCACACTGTTACCGAACAGAAATGTAACACCAGTAAGCTATTCTCCTTAACCAACCTGCATGCCAGCTTTCCTGTCTTCTCCTTCTGGACAAAGTGATAGAAAACGCTAGCCCCAAAAATGGTACATTTCCAGTTAGCCTATGGCAGTCTGTAGACATTATCAAGGTCTTTATATGGATATAATTGTAGAAACCACATGTTTTCCAATTTTGAAAATTCATATCCATCGAAAACTTTAATTACGTTTAAATTTTTCTCATGGTGAAAGCATATTTTATCAAAATGTAGAATCCTGAATTCAACCAGTTTGTGGACAATTATGAATCCAAATTCAAAAGGTGCTATAACCAACATCAAAATTCCCCGTAGCGAAAATAAAACTTTATTTGTAAGGAACACCTTTCAGTAATGGAAATCCCTATCAGAAGAAACTCCTCCCGCCTCTCTTATCCATCACTTCTGAAGGCTGTCGTGTAATAACACTTACATGAGGAAACATATTGGACAAGAATGTCAGTTTTTAAAATCTTTATCATACATTTCTATGATATCTCAGAATACGAACAAGATCAGCTGATTAAACCGGTTGGATATAGTGATAACAACAAGATACGCCACATGATATGAATAATTAAAGTACAATCACAGCTGTCAATATAAAATATAAATCCACTCTATTTTATTTCACAAACGATATTGCACACTAATGTTGACCAGATAGAATATTCTGGACAGAAAGGAAGACACTGATTTGTGTCTAATGTCACACAAACTCGAAGACCTACAGAAGAAAACTAACAAACTCTCGGAAGAAGCTGAGGAGACAGGACTTCGGGGTGAAAATACAGAAGATGGAGAGGATGAAGATAACCACTCAACAACTACGACAATTAGCACCATTCACTAATGAAAAAATAAATTTAAAAGATGTTGCTTCCTTCACTTATCTAAACAGCATCGTTCCAAATACAACACGCTCCGTGGATGAGGATGTCAGGATCACAGTCGGAAAGTCAAGGAGGACCTTCACAACTCTGAAATCAGTTTGGAAGTTTTCTGTACTCATCCTGAAGAAGAAGACTCAGATTTTCCATATAAATTTTAAAACAGTTCATCCATATGGGTCAGAAACTTGGTGGATCGACAAGTTGGACGTCCAAAGGTGAAAAGAAAGAGATGGCGTGAGGTGAAGATGACGGACTATGGGTAACTGTGAGGCCAGCTAAAAAGGATGGCAGAAAATTGGTAGAAGAGGAGATGTGCTGTTGAAGCTGTGTGATCCACTCAGAGCCAATGGTGCCTGGCAGTGGATTCGAAGTCTTAAATGTAGTTTTGTTGGGTCAATCGTCAGTTGAGTGTGTCCACACATCAATGTGTGAAGGTGTTCAAAGATTTTAATACATTTCTCATTGTTTCAAATTCTACAACTTCATCTACCGAAATAAGAGGCTACAAGATTCGTTACCCGAATTCCACGTTGCTTCTTCTCACTGGACAAAAGGGCTTGTACTCTATTGACAAAACTTGGTATTTTTTCATGCACTGATCTTGTAGGGATTGTGTTTGATAGGTTGGAGGATTTCATCTTGAGATGACATCAGTTAGAGAACCATTGGAAAACCAAATAGGAATACTGGACAACTGTTTAGTCATTGTCTTAGACTCTTCGTCAGTACACACTCATCCTGGTTCCAACCCAGGATCGTCTGGTCACAAGACGAGCTCGTAGACCAATAAGCCAATGGCCCATGAATTCTAAATTCTGCCAATTTATGACATAGTGAGTCAGTAACTCATTGAAGAAGACACTGCAAAGTGGTCGCGCTATGTCATGAATTGGTCAAAATTAAAGTTCATGTGCTCACTATAGAATTGGTTCCCAGTTTCTTAATGGTCTACTAGCTCGCAATGTTACAAGGAGGTCCCGGGTTAGAACTCTGGCAGTGGGTGCCTACTGCTGAAGAGTCCCAAACTAGACTGACGAAACAGCAGTTTAGTACACCCTGGTGGTTTCCAATGGTTCTCTAACTGATGTCAGCTCATGATGAAATCTTCCAACCAATCAAAACCAAGCATTATCAATCATATTATTAGCATGGTATCACTGATGGGTCCGTACTGGGAGGCAACTTCCCTACAGTGACTGAAGTGAATAAGAACGCAATTGAAGAGCTTGAACAAACAATATGAATTTCTTAGCCATCACTCACCTTTATTAATTAGATTCCGTTGGGTTCCGAGTGGAAGATAAGATCTCAACGTCACACTGCCATTTCATTCTCTTTTCTGCAGTTCTTTTCAGCTGGTTCTCATTTCCTCATCACAGGATCTCCTCTATGTCAGTCAGAAACTCATTCCAAACTCGTTGTTTTCCGTTTGGGTTCGACTCTGACGGTCGCATGAAGCATGATGCCACCCAACTGTCTCCTCAACGTGTGTCCTATCCGTACGCATTTCCTTTCGCGAATTTGTTAGGATTTAGGTTCTTCGTTGGTTCGATGTCTATTAGAGTTCTTTGCTGCTTATTGTCTCTGACCATCTATCTTATCTTTATTATGGAGCGAAGGTAGACGGTAGCAAAATTCACCAGTAGCCTGTAGAATATCCCCTTGGTTACACTCAAGTCAAGTCTCCAAACCATACAGAAGCACTGACTGTACCTCAACGCTGAAAACACAGATCATTCGGCCCTATGCGGGGTGCAGCAGATTTTCACACTTATTCTGAACTTATGAAGACCTTTCTTGCTTTTCCGATGTTGGCTTTCTTTAGTAGAGTGAAACAGAATACGACCGATCCTATATACCTTCTCAAGTTTTTTATGACAAAAACAATGACAAAAGAATCACTGTTAATACAGGAACAAGTTAGTTTAGTATATATGTCAGCTCTACTCAGCGTATGCTGTGAAAACGCACAACTGAACATTTAGCTTTGTGGTTTTACACAGGTGAAACAAGTCCTCTCCGCAAATTCATTCTAGAATACCTGACAGATTATAGGCGCCAAGTTGATAGGCACACTAATCTCAGAGTCACCACTACAGTACGCTAGTACTTTTGCTGTAGGCCTCAGAAAACTTCGTAGTCGATTTTCTGAAGCCTGGATACTGCATAAATGTTGTTTGTTCTGTAGTTGAAATTGAAACACACCTATGCTTTTGAAACCTTTTTCATGAATGACTAACTAAGCTACAACACAGAACCTTTCACAGAAGCACAGAAGTTCAAAAAGCCACACTCCATGTAGCACATCTAGTTAATTAGAAATATACGGTGGAAGGAATAGTTGTTAAAACCTAATGATTTAGCATATCCGAGTATATCACTGAAAGTCTCCATTCACCAGTTCTTGGCTACTCGAGGACCCCAACTAGGCAGTGTACACCTCCGTATGTGCCTGAAACCAACTGTCATTTAGAAAGCAGAAGGAACGAGAGAAGAAATATTTACTCTCCAATTAGATCCTCATCTCACTCTGGCTCTACTCTAATATATTTCCATAGCATTTTTATTACAATACAGAACAATTTATCAATCACCAAGTGGCACTGATATGTTTGTTAACAATAATTGGTCAGTATCAACATGTCAGTGGGGTGATAATTAACGCAAAAAATCTATACACACAATTCAAGGGTAGAAATGGTTACAACACATGGATTTGACCATCCCCAACTTTCTTCAAGTCATATCCCAAGTCAGCAAGCACTGCTAGACGAATAAGACGGCTGCTCATCATGCGCAACACATGTGAATGCCATCTTGATCAATGTAATTTCACAACGTCATCACTGGCTGGCAACCCTATCGTACCTAGTACCCTATGCCTAATCACAATATCGGTCACTATATTATTCCACTTACCATGGGAGATAGATCACAAAAGTATATGGTCAAAGATAGCTTGTCATTTGATATGTTCCATTTCCAATGGTCATGTTTCACACTTATAAAGAAGGACAAATTTAACTCTTTCTCAGTACACACTTACTTCGATCGATAGATGGATATCCCGTCTACGTTATAGATGACGTGAGTTAACAAATGACACATACAATCCTTGCTTACCCATTCTGGGATTCTATCATGCTCTTTTCATAATATCACACTTGAAGCTGAGAGTTGGAATGACATGGATTTTGAAATATCATTTTTTTAACTAGGACAATGGTATATGTGCTATTGTACAGCCGGACAATGAAATCGCTGAATGTCTGTTCCTTTTTCTGACTTAGTGGGGTTTTCCATAACTATGCATTAACTTTTATTCTTTTTATTTGTTGTCTTTTGTAGAAGAACTTTTTGATACTAATAAAGCCTTATGGTGGAGTAAAACTGGAAAATATTTAGTTATAACTGGATTTGATCAAAGAAATGTTTCTACACATGAAATACTTAAATTCGATGATGAAAATGAATTGAAGGATAAAAATGTGAAAATTAAATATCCTATGGTGAGTTAACTTGGAATTTATTTTGTTGAGATTTCTCAATGGCAACAGGACTGACTACGAGCTGACATCAGTTAGAGAACCAGTGAAAAACCAATTAGGGAGTACTGGCTAGCTGTTTCTCCCCATGGAAATCTACCAAGTAGGTAGGGGGACAGTCACTTATCTTTGATATTGAGCTGACAGTTGCTCTAAATGCTGCGAGTTGTCAGAAGTTTGAATTCATGGGAGACTGTATCCAGTTCCAGTGGATGAATGCTTTACGAGCTTGTCTCTATGCCAGAAGGTCCTGGTTTGGAACCCAAATGGGCGCATTTTGTTGAAGAACCACAAAACTTTGACAAAACATCCATCCAGCACTCCCTGATTTCTGAATCTCCCCTTCATTAATTTTATTTTAAACCCCTTGATTAATACTATGTGGCTCTTGTGGCCTATTTATTATTTATTTATTATTGTTTCCTTTAATTCCTACAGGAACATAGGGCTTCAACCGTACGTCTCCATTGCGTTCGGTTCTCTGCTAGAGTCTTCACCTGGCTCCATGTCTGCCCACACTTTTTCATCTCCTCTTCACATGACCTCCTCCAAGTCACCCACCCTTGCACTGACGACCAACTCGCCGCTTCCCTTTCGGGTTCCACTCGAGCGATGGCTTGTCTAGTGATGTCACTTGATGGTTTCCCCAGAGTATGGCCAATCCACCTAAATCCATTTCTTTCTGCATATTTGTTTCACAATCGGTTCCTGCTGTGTTGGTTCGCTCCCAGAGATACCTGTTGCTGATCTTTTCTGCCCATCTGATCTTGAGTATTGAGCGAAGACAACTGTTAATGAAGGTCTGCAGTTTGTTGGAGATGCTCTTTAGGAAGCGCCGAGTTTCTGTTCCGCATAGTAGCACTGACTTCACACTGAAGTTGAAAATCCGGATCTTATTTTTGATGCTGAGTGCTGTTGACCTCCACACAGACTTGAGAGAAGTGAAAGCTTGTCTTGCTTTTTCGATTCTTGCTTTGATATCCTCGTCAGTTCCACCTGTAGTTGAAACGATGCTTCCCAGGTCAGTGGGTAAAGGATGTTGTTTCTTTCAGGTTCCTTCCATTTATGCTGATTGTTGTCTGTTGTTGTTGTTCTTGCCTGGGAATCTTCATCACCTCTGTTTTCTCTATGTTCACTCGAATTCCTATCTTCTCTGGGTGCTTCCTCTGCCAACTTGTTGCTTTTCATTTACATATCTTGCAGTTTGTGGGAAATCAGACATACATCATCGGTGAAGTTCAGATCCTCCAAGTTTTTTATGTGAGTCCATTTTATGCTTGTTTCCTCATTGCCCGCTGTCTGTCGCATTATCCAGTCTACTGCAATCAGGAAAATCATTGGCGGTAGTAGGCAGCCTTGTCTTACTCCTGTTCTCACTTCGAAGGATTCCGTAAGTTTCCCGTTGTGGATTACTTGGTCTGCAGCATTATCGTACAGCTGTTGGATTAGATGTATAATTGTCAGTAGCCTAGTGGCCTAGTATTTGACAGCTTGGTTTGTTCCAGTTTGCATCAAAAACAGGCATCAGTTGAAGCAGCATTGAAAACGACAGAATAAAAGATAATTGTTGCGTCTTATTTCAAAGCTGTTTAACAGCACGCTTTACTTGCTGTTTGAAACTATCACGCCCTGGTTGTAGTATCCACAGACACCCCGCCACTGAGTGGAATCTAGAAAAATTCATTCTCAATGTCCCAGGTTGGCTGAAAAAGTTTCAGTGGAACGATAACATACCGAAAACCTTGTGTTTTAAAACAGTGAACAGAAGATAAACAATAATCCAATAAGAACACAATATCCAGCGAAGAGACTCCTTTCAACAACGAATTTATTATCAAGCTGTACAATCGTATATATATGGTTTTTATAAAAATTATATCCGGTAAGGGAATTAGGTCAAAGGTGTGAATACATGAAACAATAATAGTATGAAATGCAATTAAAATATTTGTGATTATAATCATAGTTTAATGTCAAGTGGCAAAATAATTTATGTCGCATATAGAATAATCATGGTAAATTCCCATTGAAAATCAGAACAAATGATTCACCGAAAAGACTCTTTTCAACGAATTTATTATCAAGCTGTACAATCGTATATATATGGTATATATATGTATATATATGTATATAGAATAATACATAAGGTGTATAGATTTTGGAAAGGGGTACATAATTATAAGATTAGTAGACGAATATAAAATGTTACATAACATGGTGGGAAATTTGATAAGATAGAATTCAATATTGTAAAAATAAGAATATAAAAATTAATAATTTTGGATTTAAAATGTCAAGTGGGTTAAGTGAAAAAGATTCAGAGTGAGAATAGTAATAATAATAATGATAGTAATAATAATCGTAGTAATAAGGGAAAAGCACATAGAATAACTAAATAAACAAAATAAATAAATAAATGTCTATCCCTCTACGGCCAAGGCAGAAGTAGGGATTGTACATACTTCTTTGTACACAAAGGTCTGGCTTAAAGAGATGAATCGCCAAGGCCTCAGCTGTCTTTAGAAGTCTGTAACGAAGAAAACGCGGAAAGTTAGCATGGATTCTACACATGATCTTAAAATCATGGTTAGGGTTGACAGAGTGACAGAAGTGAATCAGGTGTTCCAAAATAGGGCCTCGCACACACTTTCTTTCTCTCTTGTAAAACCATGCTGAAATGTGTTCCCGTATCCGTGTGGAAAGCGTCCTCTGACCACGGCCAATGTACCTTGCTCCACAAGAGCAGGTGAACTGGTAGATGCACATGGAGGCGACCAGACAGGGCAGCTTATCTTTTATAGAGGTAGAGAACAACTTACGGTTAGTGAACGTCATATGTAATTTTGCTGCATAGGACGTCTTAATGACTGATTTAGAGAGACGATTTTTGAGCATATCTGAAGCTTGATCACCTTTGAATTCCAAGTTCATGAATAAGGTTTTCTTTGGAACTGTGTCGGTGACCAGTGTAGACTGCTTATCTTTCATGTTGCTGTCAATAAATCGGTTAGGGTAACCGTTTTCTGCGAGAGTGGCTTTTAAGAAGTCAAGTTCTTAGTCAACGGAATCAGAACTACAAATTTTCCTTATACTAGAGCAGAGCAAATGAATTAAGTTCCTTTTTCTGGAAATAGGCGCCCAACTGTAAAAATTAGTTAGTTGTCCGTTCCATGTACGTTTCCGGTGAATATCTTTTGAGAGATCCGTCATTACGTCCAATAGACGAATGACTTTGACTCATTTCGTCGTCAACAAATGCCAAATATAAGTAACGAAGACTTGGATTTGGTTTAATTGTTGGAGTTAACTATAATATTTTTGAAAGCCGAGTATAATGCTTCAATACTGACTACAAACAGTGCTGGGTAGCGTAGCAAGTCTTACGTGTATGGTAGCCGTCAGAGAACGACAACCCCATCGGTTAAATCTCCCTCATATGCCTAACACCAAATTTTAACCTCATTGTTACTGACTGCACTGCCTCATCTACCACTGATATACCTACCATATTTATTCATATGAGAGAGAAAGAGACATCAGTCTCCGTGGATGGAGGCGTTTTATTGCTGTATCAGGTTGCTAATCAAGATATCATACTCAAATTTACTCAGATGTCCAAGACCTTAGGTGAATGATGGCAAAACGTTGTGTGAATCAGAAACATTCACTGTTAGTGACTGTTTTTGATTTTATTATAGATGTGTTGACAGCTTTATTTCTGTTGCACTTCAGGCTTCCAAGGAATAACTAATTCGTCTACTATGCGTACACAGACAAACATAGATATTGGAGATGAGAACAATGACAAATTTCAGCTTTTCCACTATCTTAAGTTGATATCTAAGAATGTTAAGCATTATGTGTATGCCTATCTAATTTAAGAAAATACTCAAGGAAGTGGAATGAAAGCAGCCATCCTCTTCATCTGGGTTCACGATTGCCCATAATTTCTCATCTCCTCCTAACGCGATCTCCTCCATATTACCCCCGCACTGACTACCCACTCGTTTCTTCACATTCTGGTTCCACTCGAACACTGACCTCCATTGCGCGCGATGTCATTCGTGTGCCCAAACAATCCATCCTCATTTTCTCCTAAATATTTGTTGAGCAATGGGCACTTGGTTGGTTTTTTTCCAGCTAGGGTTTCTTGTGGCTAAATCTTTCTCGCCAGCTGGCCATTAGATCTTCCGTATAGAGTCTGCGAAGGCGGCTGTTCGGGACACGCAGTGTAAGTTTCCAACTCATGTAAAATACTGACCGACTGACTTCACATTTGTGTTAAAAATCCGAGTCGTGTTCCTTACTCTGAGTGCAGAGGATTTCCAAACTGGTTTCTGGTTGATGAAGTCGTGCATTTCCTTTCCGATTCTGGCCTGCTTTGACATCTTCATCCGTTCCGACTGCCTGTGGCCTAAACCACGCTTTTTGACTAAGTGAAGGAAGTAACCTGTGTTAAATCTCTCCCATTGATGGTGATTACGGCTGGTTGCAGTTACTGTTCGGTTATCTTCATCATCTCTGTTTTCTGTGTTCACTTGAAGTCCTGTCCTCGCTGTCTGCTTCCTATGCCAAATTGTTGGTTTTCACCTTCATGTCCTAGAGTTTGTGCGACATTAAACAGTTATTATCTGTGAAATCCAGATCTTCTAATGCCTTCTCATTGGTTCAGCGTATTCCTTTCTTCTCGCTCCCCGCAGTCTTCTGCAAAATACAGTCTATCACAATTAAGCATGTTATTGGTGATAATAGGCAGCCAGCTTGTCATACGCCTGTATGCACTTCGAACGTCTCACTGAGTTTTCCGTGGTGGATCACCTGACACGTGGCACTATCATATAGCCAGTTGTTGAATGAGATTGATAAAGACTTGAGCACTGCATGCCATAGTGTTGAAGTAGTTTCCAAATTAATTCGCTGTCAACGCTGTCAAATGCATTTTCGTGGTCGATGAAATTGAGGTAGAGGGAGGTTTAACTGCCATCCAATGCAGCAAATGCATTTGCTGCTCTACCTATCTTGTAATTTCCGTCATCCCTCTTGGACGTAACCATGATTTTCGGCGCTTGCATGATAACCGGTTAGTTAACAGGGAACGTCTACACTACATAAGACTTTGTTCTATCTATACACTTTTAACTACTTATGGAATATTGCTACATTTTTCAATTAGGGTTGTAGAAATCGTTCACTTCATATAAAATTCATTTAAATGTTGTTTTTTTATTTTGTCTTATTGCTTAGGCTGGTGAAACATCCCTGTATAACAATCCAGTTGCTACTCTTTACTTATTCGACAGTGAAGGACAAAACTATCAAATAATTCCTCGACCACACCTGGTTCCTTGGTAAGCGTTTTAAAACTTGATACATTTGGCTCATTAATTCTTAAAATGCTAACAGCAGTTTGCAGACGTACAAGCAAGCACACACTATACTAACAAAGTGGCATTCCCTTTTTAAACGTTATCTAGAAATATATTTATCCGAATACATGGGGATGGAATGAATTAGAACACTTTTTAGTTGAATGATAGAATTAGGCAATCGCTGCTAAAGACTAGTTTATATGATACGGATTTCACTTTATTCGACAGGAAATCCCTATTTTGTCCTTTTCTCTGCTGTCCTCTTCAGCTGCCTGCATGACTACCCACAAGTTTCGATCTCATTCTCACGCGATTTCAACCATATCACTACCGGATTCACCCTCAACTCATCATTTCCCACTCGGGTTCAACTCGAGTACTGGCATGGCTCAAGATATCGCCCACTGGTCCCCTTAGAATGTATTTGATCTATCTCCATTTTTTCGGCGAATTTCTTAAGGCGTATGGATAGAGTCATAATGAAATATCTTTCGTCGAAGACACGAGAGCTTACGTTTTCTGACATATACAATGTGTGGCTGCAATACATTTCAAATTATTCTAATCACAAATGCGTATCTGTGTTGTGGTTTAAAAAATACGGCTATCACCAGCCTATTTTCATTGTCATCAGACTCAGATGGTATGGTTTTCTGTTACAGCAGTATTGATATCTGCTCTATCTTTGTAAAACGCTGGGACTGGTGGAACCTACTAGTATACATGTCAGTCTTTTGTAATTTACACTAAGCTTAATATGTTCCCGAATTGGACCTTGACGCGCTTTTCGATTGATACGTTACATTTGCATAGTTACCTAAAAACTCTTATTTTTGTAGAATATCTTGCTAAAACGTTGCAAAACCTATTGCAATTATTTGCCTTTGAAACACTGAATCTTTGGATATAAAACTGTTGACAGATAATACCTATAACTATCTATTTACCACTCTGTGCTTGTTTAACACTAACTAATATCTATAATTGTATATATTGATGGATTTACACGTTCAAGTTGGCTCAAGTCAGTGAATCTATGATTTTGGTATCATTTTGGTTAACTCCAATGTGAAGTCAGTGCTACTTACTATACGGATCAGAGACTTGGCGCGTCATAAAGAGCATCTAAAACAAACTACAGACCTTCATTAACAGTTGTCTTCGCTCAATACTCAAGATCAGATAGCTCGTCAGAAAAGATCAGCAACAGAGATCTCTGGGGGCGAACCAACACAGCAGGAACCGATTGTGAAACAAACAGGCAGGAAGAAATGGAGATCGACTGGCTGGCCATATTCTGAGGAAACCATCAAGTGACATCACTAGACAAGCCATTGCTCGAGTGGAACCCAGCCGAAAGGGAAGCGGCGAGTTGGTCGTCCAAGGGTGACTTGGAGGAGGTCATGTGAAGAGGAGATGAAGACGTATGGGCAAACTTGGAGCCAGGTGAAGACTCTAGCAGAGAACCGAACGCAATGGAGGCGCACAGCTGAAACCCTATGTTCCTCTAGGAATTAAAGGAAACAATAATAATAATATGTTCCCAGTTTAACCTCTTTATTTTATTACTACACGTGTCACCTGACATTCAGTTTTGCCCATTTTTGGTACTTGTTTGTATGTGTTTTATGGTAATCATTATCCTTGCACACCATTGAATATAACCCACTCCCCACCCCTAACCTCCTATCCCAATGAAACTCATACTCTATTGACTATGAGTACGTTAGTATGTCACCTTATTGTCGATTCACACTTTACCTCATGTTCTAAATAAGTCAATTTCGCAAGTGTGAACCGTAAATGTCATCAATAAATGTAAGTGGACATATGTAGGCGACATGTTAGCAATAATGAAAAAGAATGATGTTGAGAAATTCTTCTGGCACATAAACAGTCATATTGACTCAATAAAATTCATCATGGAAATAGAGAATAAAACTGGAGAACTGCCTATGTTAGACTGCGAAATACAAAGAGTAACAGATGGTAGCATGAAAACGACACTATGTAGAAAAACTACACATTCTGCTTTCATCCACTCATGGTAAAACGAGGATTAATACAAGGTCTTGCAGACAGAATACACAGACTTACAACAACACCAGAGGACCAGTGTAAAGAAATAAACGTCTTATTCAAAATGTTACTCGACAACAACTACCCAAGAGAATTTACCAGAGATAATATAAAAAAAGAGAAAGAGGGTAAAGCTGGAGAATGACAAGATAGAGGAAGGCGAAATAACAGTCACGATACCATACAAAAATGGTATATCAGAGGCAATTCAAAGAAACCTCAAAAATATTGGGATTCGCACAACGTTTAAACCGACGAATCTAAACAAAAATAAGATAAATCAGCTGAAAGATCTCATAAAAATGATGGATATAAACAATGATTTACAAACAGATATCTTGTGCCGACGGTCCGACACAATATGCGGGTCAAACGTCCAGATCACTCAAAATAAGAGTGTATGGACATAAAAACCTAACTAAAGATCAACCAACAGGAACACAAGCTTACAACAATTTAGAAAAAATCCATCTACAGCTGCACATGCATGGGACAAAAACCACAATATCGACTGGGACAATGTGTGTATTCTAAAAACTAATATGCACAAATGGAAAGGGAGAATTTTAACATAATCTGTATTCACTAAGGTTACACCGGATACATGAAACAATAATTATAATAATTTGCTTTATTCCAGAAACAGTTCTAGTGGTACGGTGTGGAATTTTCAGCACATATCTACAATATTTGCATCTAATTTTATCAAACATTTAAACGGAGTATTTCAAAAAAATAAATAAAATAAATATAAAGACACCAACAGAAAAAAAAACAGGAAAAACACAAAATAATTTTTTTTTAATGCGAAAAAATACCAAGATGTAGAAAGGAAAATAAACAGCATATAATAATAACTCAGTATTGGGTAGTGGAAGCTACGATATGATTATGCATGGTGACAGTAAAGCTATAGTCATAGAAGAAGTTATGAACTGATATTTAAGAATGTTTATCGCCAAGGTGATCAGTTAATTTTTTTGAAACAACTCTGAACAATCATAAAATAACATTTCAGGGTTGTTGTTTTGTTTTTTATGGTCAGGTCTAATGCAGTGTTTGTAGTGGTAGTGTGAGTAATCCTGCATAGCACAAAATTTTTAGGGTTACAATGGCGTTTACAACCAATGATTGTCAGTTAATGTTGCCGAAAAAAATAGAAAATAAGAAAAAACAACCACAAAACTAATAATTACATGATAGCTAATGACAGGAAAATTTTGTAATACTCATAGTGCTAATATAGTCGGAACCAGTGGATGCACAAAAGAAGGAATACGGTAAAGTACAAAAGAGTAAGCCGATGTTAATAATTTAGGTAGGTAAGTATGTTTAAGAAGGAGTTCACTATAGAATACAAAATAAGAGAGAAATAAAAGAGCCTAAATTATGTTATTAACAACAGAGCAAGTCATAGGTTTCACGCTTAACATTGTCTCTGTCGCTTAGAACACGACAGAGACAAGGGTGACTAAGTACAAATGTCAACAACCTGGAATACACAAAAATGAATGAACAAAAAACTGAACAATATTTATGAGTACAAATCATAAATGTGTGAATTAAAAAACAAAACAATTCCAACAGTTGGTGTGATGATCACGGGCAGTGATTTTGCTCGAAATATTACCAAAAAACAAAAACTTATAATTGTGTGTAAGCCATTGAAATACATATTCCACAATGATCAAACCTTTTACTGACATCAACCTTATATCATATGGGACTAAATCACAAGATTTTAACATGTCTCATCTAAACTCATCAGACAGTTTGAACACTCTTCACCAAGATTAATACTCAGCTATGATTTCTCGATTTGCACATATCCTTAGAAAACTAACAGTATGTCAGACAAAATTATAACAATTATGGTAAAACATTGGTTAGAGAAGGGGGAAGGGGAAAGAAAATTGTAAAAGTAGAATAAAAGTCTGCTACCAAGGTAGATTTAAGGTAACTACTGTCTCCCATTGTACACAGAGATCCGACTTCTAAAATCTAACTGCTTAAAATTCAGCAAAACCAAAAGCTTTATTATTACATTGAGTGCTAAAACTATAAAGGTTTTACTCAACCTCAACGTATGACGAGTTCTACGGAAATTTATGAATTCATTAAATATTCCTTCTTTCACAGTTGTTCCTCGTATAAAATAATAATAATACTAAAGATAACATGAATATCAAATATATGATAATGTGAAATATTCTCATATCATCAATAAAAAGTCAATCGGAAGGAAGAATATTCTTTTCAATAATTTCTCTTCAGGTCCTTACAATTATAAAATATAATATTTGTTGTCGTTACAATAATGATAGCCAGTGATGCGGCAGATACATTTTTTAACGTAGAATAACAGATTAGTTATGGAGTGTCAAAATAAATAGTCGTATTTGTGTGACAAATGTGCTAGGTTGAAATCGATTACAAAATATTGCCAAATGGGAGACAATGGTGGTGATTAGTCACAATAGATTTATGGAGTGTGGGGTAGGAAAACTGACAAGTCAGTTCAAGGTTATAAAAGGTGTCAGGTGAGTGGCTGGTACAAAATGGTCTGTATTAAACAGGAGATAGTAAGACTGCAATGAGAGAGGTTCATAATGAAATAACGAATGTGTCAAATGAAACAGGTGGAGGCATATATTGAGAAAAGAGATAATATCACTAATAACAATTATATCTGAGAACAGATTATTATTATTAGAAAGGAATTTGTGCACTGATATTCCTATTAGTAATCTGAAACAACTACTTGTTGAATGTAAAACAAATGTGCAGTTCTTGTTTAATAATTAAATGTACAGACAGGTTGATGGAGTAGCCGTGGGTTCCCCACTGGGAACTATTTTCGCTAACGTATTTCTAGGAAAACTAGAAAATAGTCCATTGAAAGAGGAAATGGCAAAAATGGAACTGTATCCTCGCTATACGGATGATAATTTTGTAGTGTGCGATGAAGGGTTACATAATGATTTGATTTTGAATGATATCAATAATGCTCATCCAGCGGTACATTTCACCTAAGAGGGAGAATACAACGACCCTCTACAGTTCCTCGACTTCTACTACCCAGAAGAGGGTATGGTTCCATCAAAAGAACCATATTTAGAAAGCTACAGACCAAAGCTCCTTTTCGATGAAAAACAAACGTATTCTGATCAGGTGCTTAGCATTTAGAGCTAGGCCCATTTGTTCCGAAGACTGTGTAGAGAAGGAACTCCAGGTCATCCAAGACATTCTAAGCAAGAAGGGATATCCAGAGAAGTCCATTAAAGCCAACACGGGTTACAATAGTCGTAAATATGAACTGGCAACGGTGGAGAAAACGCTTCTTTTTGCTTTAAGGGGAGATACTCCTGTGGAAATTCTATCGCAACGTTTAACCAGGGTAATAAAGAAAACTTTCTATTCTGCACGTTTGTGTCTATCGTTCAGTAGACGTCTAGTGTTCACCCAGCAGCTCAAAGATGTCTTACTTAACCTCAGCTCTTCTTCATACATATATCATTTCAACTCTTACTGTGGTTCAAGGCATGTAGGGCATAAGATTAGGCAGGTTCGTCTATGGGTTCGAGAACATTTACCTGCTTGGTTCAGCAAGAGGGCAATTAAGTGCATAAAAAGCTTGATCCTGTCAAACCTGGTAGGTACTGGATACTGCATCGACGCCAGCACAGTCTTCAGGGTTATATACCAAATTCCGAAGTCGTTGTCACGTACAGTTCGCCTACGTCTCCTATACATAGCTGAATCTTTTGCAACAAGATCGACTGAACTGGAACTTTGTATCCAAAAGAAGAACACGTTCAGACGCTGTCCTTACCATGGCCAAACGTGGATTGATGATTCTTCTTCTCATAAAGAGTACCTCTTCCCCTTATCCCTTTTGGTCTTTTTCTTTTCCCTTGCTTATGATTACAATTATTACTATTACAATTCGTTATAATCTATACCCTTCATGCAAACATTGTCTCAATAATATTGAATTTCCCATTAATACCATCTGGACTTATTATTAGTGATATTATATCTTTTCTCAATATATGCCTCCACCTGTTTCATTTCACATATTCGTTATTTCATTATGAACCTCTCACTGCAGTCTTACTACTTTGTACTAGCCACTCACCTGACACCTTGTATAACCTTAAAGTGACTTATCAATTTACCCTACCACACACTCTACGAATCTATTGTGACTAATCACCACCATCGTCTCCCACTTTACAATATTTTGTAATCGATTTCAGCCTATCACTTTTGTCACCCAAATACGACAGGTTGTGAAGTTTTATTATCAGCCGCCTTCTTTGGTTCCACACTGAAAATGAGACAGTCAGAAATGACTGGGCACCAAGAAATCCGAAATGAACGAATAAAGAACCTTTCGCTATACAAATATCCCGAAGAAAATGAGTATGGATCGGACGTACATACACACAGTGAGAAGACCATCGATTAACATTGCACGCCAGACCTAAAGGGGAAACGATCAGTTCGGTATCCGAAAACTACACAGAGGAGATAGTGTGATGAACAAATGGAAGCTCATGGGAGCTGGTGAGGTTTCCTAAAGAGGACTGTACAGAACAGGTCAAAATTGGGATGTATTATTTAGGCCTTAGATTCCACTCGAACCCCTGGGGATTATTAATGATATAATAATAATGTCAACTAAACTTAGTGAATTCCTTGGTCATATCTCTACAGTTTTATTATTTCTATATTTGACTGTATGTGTCTTTACTTATACTTCAATTAACAGGGATGCATTGCTGGTGTTGACACGTTGGATGAATGATGACATTTTCATTCATGCATGGACAAATCGTATACAAAATCGTGGCTGGATATGCGTTTTCAGTAGAACACTGAATGAAAGTTGGGTTGTAAGTTTTTTTAAATAGAAATAATTAAAGTGATAACAGTTATACCTTTGATGTAAATTTCGTCATGAACTGACTGTTTCATCCTATTTTGAGACACTTGATTCCAAATGGCATCATATTCAGTTGTTATACAATATCCAGTAAATCTTATTGGATATTTCTGATCTTTTTAATAAATATTCAGCAATACTTTGGTTTTGGATGGGCATTGCATACTCAGGACGTCATCTAGGAAGTAAAGCTAAGGGCTTGAAGTCATTTGCATAAATATGATCGCTAAACACAGTGATATTCACCTATTTTTCGCTCCTTTGTTTTCAGGGTGCAGCATAGGGCTTCAGGCTTTGAGCTCCGAAGTTTCAGAATTTCTTCTGTTTATAGAAGGAGAGGCTGTTAACCTCAAGCGGCATCTTCTCACCACTTGCTTAGTTACTACTGGTTACGTGAGGATTAGAAGTGCGTCAGCCAGGAGTCGAATCTGAGCCATGTCTATGGCTGGCGAGAATTTTACCCCAGAACCATCCACTGATTTTTACGTTTGATGGTGTGCCGTTATCCATTCTGTCGTCGACAAAATAGGAACTGTCCCACGTAATGTTCAGTTTCTTAAACTATATGAATTCAACAAAATTTTCCTAGGGTCTTCGAACTAATATATGCTTTATTTGGTGGACCGTGACTACCACTGTAATTGAGGATGAACATTTCATCCTGTTTGGGACTCGTCAATTGAGTGTGGCTGCAATCGTCAGTAAGTGATGGTTATTCCAACCGGAACTCGAACCAAGAGCCGAGTGTTTCAAACACCATAGTATAATCAACAAGAGCCGCCTCATGCGTAAGAAGTATCAGATAATTGCTGTTTGCTTATGCCGATTTTGTTCAAATATTTACACTTCCAAAATCATGTCCAGATGCTGAAAGTTTTCAGATAAATAATGACTGACTGACTGGTTTCAACACAGAACCTTGTACAAATTTATGGCAATTCGGTTTGCCACACTCCCTCCATGTAGCACACAAGCAAGAGAAAAGGGTGAACAGATAATCCGAAGAGAGATAATTAACAGAAGTGTGAGGGACAAGAAATAGGAATATGGAAGAACAATAGAGTTTCATTGGATATTATAAATCACAAAGAGAGAATGAGTTTGCGCAAGCCATTCAGAGCGACTTTGAATCATATCACCAATTGTTTCCAGCTTTCATCGGTTTTTACCATCGCAATGGACCCAACCAGCGTGATAGTCTACACCTCCATATGTTCATGGCTTAAACTAACGGTTATGGATTTCATTGACTGATTCCGTGTTTCGGTTTGACAACCACTAACACTTTCCTAACCTGATTCATCGTATGTGAGGTAACATTGCCTGTTATCGAGAAAGGCGATGACTAGGTATACGTAATATATGTAGTAACCGTCTCAGTTGATGTAAATCCACAACCTCGTCTACCGAATTTTCCTCCCTATCTAAGAGTGGACGCATCACCTCAATATTACTCATCCTATTATACCACCTAACATAGGAGATGGAATGTAGACACTTATAATCAAAGACATCCAACCAGCATTTTCATGTCTTCCACTTTCAGTGGTCATGACTCATCAAAGCCATAAAAGAGGGTTGGTACAAACTACTACGCAGTACATATATATCCTTTGGTCAACAGCCGGATATAACGTCTACGAAGCCGGAGATGGTGTTATTTGGTGTATAGCAAACGAGCCTTCTGTTTCCGTGCTAAGGTTTCATCAACAATCGACCTGCTGGAGTTGGCTGGTGCAACTTCCAAAATAAGTGAACTGGTCAACACTCTCTACCACTTCACCCCTGCCTAGCTTAAAGTCAGGAGTCAACTTAGCCCAGTTCTGTAGCATCATCTCACTTCTGATATCCTAAGATTTCTGCTCAGAGTCTTCAACTAGGGGAACCATGTCATCTACATATTTGAAACCAACAGAATTGTTTCTTGGTATTCTAGTTAAGTTAAGTATTAAGTATTCAACTGCGTGCAAATATTGTAAGTATAAAGCTTCCATCATTAAACCAGCAGTTAGCATTGAAACAGAGATATGTGTGGACGAATAGTTAAACACTACTTCTGTTCTGCATTCGATCCTAAAATTATTCATTCAGCGAAATATTCTGGGCCTACGTTTTACGGTAGCTTGCAGTTACCAGCAAGTTAATTCATTCCCATTTCAAGATTCGAATTCGCATAGTTTGTCAAACGAGTCAGTAGTTTTAACCAGAATGTTAGCGAGATTCTCACAATTAGCAGTAACAGAAATAGGTAACCTGCATCAGTTTCAATCAATAATGATTAAACAAAAATACCCGGCAGGGTGTTAAAGTGAAAAGAACAAAAAGTTCAGCAAAAAATATCACTGCAGCGATTTCATTCTCGAAAGAAGCTGTACAATCCTACTAAAATATACATAAATCTACATAGATACAAGTATTACTTCATTCCACTCAATAACAAAGGAGGAAATTGAAGGTGATAATAATTTTCAACTTGATATGTAAGCTCAAAGATGTTAGTGAATATGGTGAATGTACAAGGGGCTTAGAAACAAAATACACAGGGATAGAAAATAGATTTCAACGAATACAGGTTAAAATGGGATAAGCATAGAAACACATTGAGATAATGGCTTCTAAAAATTGAAAAAAGACGAAGGCAATGAAAAAATGAGGACTAAGAAATCAGACAAAACTAGATCCATGGTAAATGTACAGGTTTCACGAGTTTCTTTTGAACACATAGCTCTATCCTTTTGATGTATAAGGTGACAACAGGTGTTGATGAGATGTTCAATTGTGATGCTTCTTGTTGAATCAGTACCACCTCTAAGCAGCCATACTGGGTAATGTTTCCTAACAAGTCATGAAAGGACCCGCAGAAAACCAGCTATGTACCTAGCTCCACAAGAGCAGGTAAATTGACATATGTACACTGTAGTGGTCATATCATGAATTTTTTCCTTCACACTGCTAATAAGCAGTCTCAGAGCTGCTACAGCAAAGGTCTTCTTTAGATATCTAGAGATTCTACCCTTTGGGTTGCCTGCAGCTAAGACTCTCCTGAAGTCCAGATCCAAATAGTGTTTTCTACCCTCTACAGAAATGCATTCTTGTCTTTTTGGCTTTGGTTTTCTGTCCTTCTCCACAAAACGTGTGGTGTATCCATCTACCACGCACCTGGCTTGCTCTGACTCCTCAGTTCCGTTTTTTACTTTTTGTTGTTTTTTTCATTCCCTTCATTTTTTCAGTTGTTAGATACACTGTTTCAACTTGTTTCTATGTCCATCCCTTTTACACACAAATTCGTTAAAAACGATTTTCTAAGACTGTGTAACTTTGTTTCTAAGCCCTCTGTGATCTATACTCACTAACATCTTCGAACTTCCATATCAAGTTGGAAATTATTATCACCTTCAATCTCCTCCTTTGTTATAATGTAGAATCGAATAATAACTGTATCTATGTAGATTTATGTATATTCTTATGAGATTGTACAGCTTCTTTAGAGAATGGAATCGCAGTGATCGCAGTGATATTTTTTGCTGAGCTTCTTGTTCGTTTCTCTCCAATACTCATAGTTCAACCATCGGACATGATCATAAAATTGAAGGAAACAATGAAGAACTACCTGTCTTACATTTTGATTTCTAGTTGAATGGCACAGTGGTTAGGCCTCTCGCCGACCATGCACATGGTTCGGGGTTCGATCCCCTGCCGACGCACACTCGATATCTATGGTCGGCCTGCAAAATTTGGGCTACCGATATCCATGCTGAAAATTCCATACTTGCACTGAAAATACGGTGCGGCATTAAGCTGTTATCAAAATAAATTAAAAAATAAAATAAAATGATAAGCGCTGATATCATTTTGACCTGGTTCTCAACCACAACCAATTGGCATGGTTGATTTTTGCTGCTCTTATTAATCGGCATTAAAAATTGTCTTTTAGTTATACTTTCTTTCTTGACTGAAGTTTATGATATCACGCAGATCATATATACTGTGATCTCGACAGTATCCGTTTCAAAAAAATAGTGGAAATCTCTTCTCTATCTGCATAATTTACGAATCGCGAATTCGGTTCCATGTATAACCCCAGTTTACCCAGGTAGCTAGCCAGAATCCAGATGATTTGAACCGAATCGGCTGTCCAAGCTAAGTCATAAAGGGTACATTGCTGATGAGCTGGACCCCTAATAGGCGGAACTACTATCTGGTGTTCAGATCACTTCGGTTTGGTCTGTAAGCATTACTTCTTGGTGTGAGTGGCGTCTAGCTACTCAAATGAACCAGCCAGTAGTATATGGTAGCATGTAATTATGTTAGCCTTCTTGGTTAATATTTATTTTCTTTATAACTGTCTTTAAATTGTTATGATGTTTTGTAATTTTCTCCCTGCAATCCAATTTATATCTGCTTTTTAGATATATAAAACTGCTTATGACAATGGATGGGTCAATCTGGTAAGTGCACCTGATTCATATTTCTTCTTAAATATGTGTTTATCCTGACGTCAGTGGTTCTTTCACTTGCTTTCACTTGTTTATAATGAATGCTTTACAATTTCAACGGAAATACTAGTGTTCGTTGGGATCTTTCTAGATCTACGCAGCGAATACTAAAAAGAATGCGACTTAGGCTTTGAACTTCATTGCCAGCTAGCATCCTTTCATCATTACCCAGTCCTCGTTGTAGTGGAATGGATTATACGTCAGACTGTGGTCAGTGAGAAGACGGAAATACGTTAGACCCATAAGAAGACTCTAGAATATCTGGATTACGCAGATGATTTATGTCAAATGTCACACAAACTCGAAGAATTGCAGAAGAAAACCAACAAACTCGTAGAAGAAGCAGGCAGCGAAGATGGGACTCCAGATGAACGCAGATAAGAGAGAAATGATGAAGATAACCAGCTAACAGCACCATTCACTATCAACAAGTGAAATCTGAAAGAGTTCACTCCCTTCGCCTATCTAGGAAGCTTCGTTACAACTACAGGCAGTCGGAAGAGATGAGGATGTCAACGCCAGGATCGGAAGGGCAAGGTACACTTTGAAATCAGTTTGGAAGTCTTCTGCTTTTAGTATAAGAACAAGATTCGTATTTTCAACACCAATGTCAAGTCAGTCAGTTCTTCTCTTCTCTATCAGTCAAAACTTCGCGTTCGTGGAAACAACCATATTGGCTTTAAAAAGAATAGAACTTGAAGTTCAGCAAAGATATCTTTTCGGCGATTTCATTTTCAAAATCCGTACAATCGCATTTAAATACATAATTTTACATGGATACAATTCTTGTTTGATTCTACATAATTACAACGGCGAATAAAAGGTGATAAGTATTTTCAACTAGATATTGTTTACGAGAGGCTTAGAAACAAAATAACACACAATTAGAACGGATATCAAGTGTGAAAAATAAGCATGGAAACAAAATTGAAATAATAATTTTCAACTTGAGATGGGAGTTAGGAGGTGCGAATATAGAAACACAAAAGTTACACAGGATTAAGATATAATTGTAAAATAGTTATTTTAAACGAATTATAAATGGGAACAGGAAAAGCATGGAAACAAACTTAAAATAACTGTTTTTATAACTGAAAGAATTGGGTGAATCGAATGAAGACAGAGGGAGTAAGAATCACACACGCAGCGAACGAAAAAAGGTCAAAAAGAAAAAAGAGAGAGAAAGAAGCAATAAACGGAAACTAAGGGAACACACCAAACTAGGTCCATGGTAGTTGTAGAGGTTGGACTAATTTCTTTTGAACACACAGCTCCGGCTTCTCGATGCATATTGCGAGGGCTTCCGCAGTACAGAGAAGTCAGAAGCATTCTGCTTTCGGTAGGTTTCTGTTGACTTTGTAAATTACTTTGAAAGAATCAGTTGAAATGTTGTGGAAGGTGTTGATCGGATGTTCAATAATGGTACTTCTGATTAAACCGGTGCTTCCTCTTTGCAGCCACGCTGGTTAATCTTTTGAAAACTTCGCATTCTCGTCGTGAAAAGCATTTCCAACATGTAACAGACTTTTATCAACAGCTGCATTCACTGGCTCCATACTGAAGATCAAATGGCCGACCAGAAAGAATAAGCAACAACAAACTATGGGAAAAAACCAACCAAGGACCTACCGCTCAACAGAAATGATTGGTACAATACTGAAGTCATAGACGTGGGAGAAACCAAGAACTTCAGAGATTTTTCAAAAGCCTGGTATTCTAGTGAATCAATAGTAAACAGACATACTGACACAGACAAGATTTATCAATCCACAAAATGGAAATCACATGGACAAAACATCAACTTTCAGGTTTAGGAAACGATCCGTACCAATTAAAGCTGACTAGAGGTTGAGTAAATACACAAAAACAACCAGTCACGTTTAGTGGTTATCAGGATAGTTGACTAATAAACTCGAAGAGAAACTTAAATGCTCACTTCAACTTGAAGTATGCTTTGAGGATGTTGCCTAGTGTGGCATTGAAAACTTCGCAACTAAACCAACTAGCTCAGAGAATAAGACTACACCCAAATATCCGGAATCACTTACGATGGTGTTTAAACATTTTCTTCAAAGTACAGTGCTCAAGAGATAACAAATGCTCATATCACGATATATGGGGTAGAAACCACTACGATAATCTGCGTGTCTGTCGACAGACTGAATTATACAGCACACGAAGTCATGACAAATAATACCGTTTCTTTTTAAGCATCACTGAAAACTAAATGAACAACATTCGCCTTGATCTAACTGACAAATACTATCGGATGACTTCAGTCATATATTACAAAAAGCATATCACCCTTTAACTTGGTTCACAAATATTTTAGTATGATTTCCGTTTGAGTGACTAGAATAAGTTTACCTTGGAAGAAATATATATATACATATCCACGTTCGTTTCACAGTTCATAGTGAATTAACTCAGTAGAGTGATTCCCTATTTTTAATTACAAACCATCTGTTCTTAGATAGTTCTACCGGCAGTCCCTCTCCCGAATGACACTTATTAAATGGAATTAAGGATTCCCTCCTACAGTAAAATTTGTATACGGAACCAGATAGGAAGGTTATTGGTAGTAATTGCATGGTAGTACATAAACTGAAGCCCTAAAGGACAGACAAAAACTAACCAAGACACAGCGTTTTTAAAAGTACGAAACTAAAATTTCATGCAGAGACAGTAATAAGGTGCAGAATTAGGGAAGTTCATCAATTCATTACTAGCACCTATACAATTGATATCATGGAAATCCAAGAATAACCACCATCAGGCATTGATTCATAAACATATTAAATTATCAAGAATTAGTTTGTAGGGATTCAGGTTAGACCACGGACTGATATAAGTTAGGGAACCAATGGAAACAAGGTGGGAGTCCTTGACAACTGTTTCGTCTTAGATTGCGATTCTTCGGCAGCATGCACACACCACCGGCTTTCGAACTCAGAAACTCCAGGGTACATGGTGAGCTCTCAGACTATTAGGCCACTGGGACCCGACACAATGGCCCATGAATTCTTACTTCTACTTATTCATGATTTTTGTGCGACCACCAACTAATGTCATTGGCGAGAGGTCCATTCTCACTCTCGACTCGATGAACCCCACTGGTCACAAGTTTTCACCAGAACTCCAAGCAACTTCTTTCTGTACCCAGTCACCAACGAGCGTCAGATTGATTTTCAGAATAATACTTCTGACAATATGAAAATTTACAAATCGGTATATTAGTTGTTTAAGACTGATGGGGATTATGCGTCAGACAGTGGGAAACGAGGAGACAGGGATATCCTGGACCGACGTGAAGAACCTAGAAGACCTGGACTTTGCGGATGATTTATGTTTGATGTCACACAAAATCGAAGACTTACAAGCAAAAACCGACAAACTGGTCGAAGAAGCAGCAAAGACAGGACTCCAAGTGAACATAGACAAGACGGAGGTTATGAAAATAACCAACCAACAATAACAACAACAGCAGCAGCAACATCCAGTGCCAATCACCATCAACGGGAGGGATTTGAAAGAGGTTACTTCTTTCACTTATCTGGGGAGCATTGTCTCAACTACAGGAGGAACGGACGAGGATGTCAAATCGAGAATCAGGAAGGCGAGAGACCCATTCATCAAACTGAAACCAATCTGGAAATCTTCGTCACTCAGGCTGCATCAACAACAAAATTCGGATTTTCAATGCAAACGTCAAGTCAGTCAGTTCTTCTATACGGATCAGGAACTTGGAGGGTCACCAAGAATATTTCCAACAGCCTGTTCCAGACCTTCATCAACAACTGTCTTCGCTCCATACCGAAGATTAGATGGCCGGAAAGAATCACAAACAAGAAGCTATGGGGACAAACGAAACAGGAACCAATCGCCCAACAAATATGCAGGAGAAATTGGAGATGGATTGGACACTCGCTGAGGAGGCCGTTGGATGACATCGCGCGTCAGGCCATTGCTCGAGTGGAACCTGAAAGGGAAGCGGCGAGTTGGACGTCCAAGGGTGACATGGAGGAGATCGTGTGAGGAGGAGATGAAACAGTATGGAGTAACATGGATGCAAGTGAAAAGTACAGCAGAAGACAGAAGCAAGTGGAGGCGTGCAGTTGAAGCCCTATGTTCCACTAGGAACCCAAGGGAACTATAATATAATAATAATAACTAAGAGAAGTAATACTTTTCATTCGTCCCAGAGTTCTACATTTACCATCGACTTTTCAGTCACAGACAATTTGAATTTTCAATTTAATTGTGCACAACAGCAGTATCGCTTCTCAAGTCTGACCACGAACTGACGTCTATCAAAGTGAAGTATTAGTAGACAGCTGTTTCTTCCTGGTTTGAGACTCTTTGCTTCACCACTAGTGAATAAAGCCACAGAAGCTTCAGGTTAAAAGACGACCTCATTGAATTGTCAAACCACTGAGACTGCTAATTTTGCAGCAAATGGCATCGACGGCTGTCTAGCTTCTCACCCACGTTACTGGATCCCACTCATATTTGCTTCTCACCAGAACGTTTAGGCAACTTGATTGTGTTGTTGGTCAATAATTAGAACTTGAAATCAATTAATCCCTTATATTATTGTTCCCATTTCTAAATTCTGTTTGTTCAAATATTACATGGATGAGAAAGTTAATGTCTAGGAGACATTTACTTCACACTTAATGATCACCAATACTTCTATTATATTTTCTTTCTTTCCTTAATTTTTGTTTTACTTTTTGATATTTTTTATAGATGAAGCAAGTTCATATTGAACCGTTGATAAACGAGGAGAGACAAGAAATGTTAATTATACTACCAAGAGATTATTCTGAAAAAGCCTACAGAGGTATAGCTAAACTAAGAATTGTAAGTCTAGCTGCATTGTTAAATGATTCATTTGGTGAAGAGAAAATATTCTTTTTGATAACTTCCTCTTCATCAGGTTCAGAATGTATACGAAACTGATAACAAAGTTGATGCTGTTTCATATTTGCTTCAATTAACAGTAGAAACAGCCACATCATCCTAGGGAGAACCAAACAAGACGTAGATGCAAACCTTCGATGGGAATAGGCTGGATTCAGGAGTAACAAGTCATGCATCGATCAATTCTCAACAATACGTCTCATCATTTAACAGACCTTGGAATGACAGTCACCTCTTTTTCTCAACTTCGTTGACTTTTAGAAGGCCTTCGATAGCGCAGCATCGATCCAGAGGTGATTTAGCAACTACTTCGCTACTACGGGGTGCCACCGACAATTATACATCTCATCCAACAGTTGTATGACAACGCTGCATGCCAAGTAATCCACAACGGGAAGCTCACGGAATCCTTCGAAGTGAAGACAGGAGTAAGACAAGCTGGCTGTCTACTATCGCCAATGATTTTCCTGATTGCAGTAGATTGGATAATGCGACAAAGAGTGGGCAATGAGGAAACAGGCATAAAATGGACTCACACAAAAACTTGGAGGATCTGAACTTCGCCGATGATATACGTCTGATTTCCACAAACTGGAAGATATGCAAGTGAAAAGTAACAGGTTGGTGATAGAAGAAGCATCAAAGATAGAACTTCAGGTGAACATACAGAAAGCAGAGGTGATGAAGATTCCTTGCAGACAGCAGCAGCAACCACAACAACAGACAACGATCAGCATAAATGGTAAAAATCTGAAGGAAGCAACCTCTTTTACCTACCTGGGAAGCATCATTTCAACTACAGGCTGACGGAACTGATGAGGATAGAAAAGTAAGGATCGAGATAGCAAAGAAAGCCTTCAACACTTTCCAGTTTATGTGGAGATAAACAGCAGTTAGCGTGAAAAATAAGATCCGAATTTTCAACTCCAATATGAAGTCAGTGCTACTTGCAATATGAATCAGAGACTTGATGCGTCACGAAGGGCACTTTGAACCAACTACAGACTGTCATCAACAGCTGTCTTCGCTCAATACTCAAGATCAATTGGCCGGCCGGAATAGATCAGCGGCAGGGATTTCCGTCAATGCAGGAACCAACCCAGCAGGAATCAACTGTTCAACAAGTATGCAGGAGTGGAACTCGGCCGAATGGGAAGCGGCTAGTTGGTCGTCAGTACGAGGGTGATATGGAGGAAGTGATGCAAAGAGTAGATGAAAGCATGTGGTCAGGCGTGGAGCCAGGTAATGAAAACGTTGGCAGAGAACCGAACGCTATAAAGAAGTTCGGCTGAGGCCCTATTTTTTTCTAGGAATTAAAGGAAACAATAATAATAACATTAGCAACAGTATCAGTAGGACAGGGAGATAATATGCAATAATACAACATCAAGTTGACTGAATATCAGAAAAATTATGGGAAATGGCACAGAATTTGTGAATTTAATGGTTGAAACTTATTCATTTGCACACATAACAAACTCCAACGGCCTCTGTTGTTTTGAGTGTTCCGTATCTAGAGGCTACTGGTTATTTATTCGATTGCTGAAAGATGACAGTGGAAGACTCTTCAGTATGGCTAGATATTTGGCCCTTTTGCACAAGGTGGCCCAATTCAGAACTGTTGACGGTTCTACCAACGCCTCTGTTTAACTGCACTAGTAGGTGTTGCCTAGAACCAGAAATTAAGTTTCTAGAGCAGCGATCATTGACTTCACAGGAGCAGTTGAATCGATAGATGCATTTAGAGGTGGCTAGCCCAGCTACTTCATCTTTCATTTTGCAATCAAAACCGGTCATATGGGAAATTTAAGCTCTAGCCAACCAGCATTAAACTTACTTTGAATCTATGTTCTTAACTCATTGGTTATTGTTTCCCTTGGTATATCACTTCTGAATTGTAGTCGTATATATATATATATATATAGTGGATTCTTCATTCTTGGGCCTTCGTATTTATCTTGATTAGAACTTTATTTCATAGACTACTGGAAAATAACCTTGCGTACTCGAACTGTAAGTGGTCTGTGTAAACATGAGATATTCACAGTATTTAGGGTTTGATATTTAAATATTGTACGCTAATAGAAAATGAGTCCGTTGTACCGACCTCACTTAGACAGCTTATGAATGATTGCTGAAACCTCCATGTTAACAGGCCAACACGTTCACCGCATTAAGTCTAATGCTTCTCCGAAATGCAAACGAAATTCAATGCGTTGCTGTACATTAGGTGAAGCCAATAATAGAAGAAGCCTTGATTATTTATTTAGGCATTGTTGAGAAAGGATTTCCAGTCGAGGCTACAATTAAAAAGGTCAGCATACCATGGTCAAAGTTCATCGGTGCTTCAACGGTAATATGCTTGCCAGCCATGCCGGAAGTATTGGTTAGATTCCCAGCCAGCTCACTCCTGGACTAATGAAGTAAGCCAGTAGTAGGCTCGAAAAAGATAGAAGGTCGACCGACGAGCTACCAACCCTACCACTCCTAAAATCCCAGAGTTTCAGACCGTACATTTTTATTCTAACACGAAGGCTAGTAATCGCGTTTTCAGATGAAACTGAAATTAGTCAAGATTACTTTTAGCATTTCAAGAAACTGATAGCAAATAAAGGATTTCTGTTGTAAACTGCTTCTTCTCCCTGTTAAATGTTTAGATGACTATCGCAATTTTTTAATTTAATCACAAAACATGGCACATTACAGGCACCGTATAAAAGCTCAAAGTTTATGTGAGAGCCAGGATACTACCTGGAAGCCCAGACGGAAGGAAGTGATTGTCGTAAGAGGCCAACTCTCAAGCCTTTATCCATAATGGCAGTGCAAGTGCGTCAAAAGCTGGTTCAGTGGTAAAATGCTCGCCGACCACACATGTGGTCCGTGGTTCGATTCCCAAACGACGCACTCCTAAACCTCACATAGCCGATGGTAAATTCGGTCAACGGTGAATGTTGGGCTTGAGGCTGACAGTCTACACTCTATCGCGTAAATAAAAACACTGCCACTACCGAAAATTCGGAGCTCTTAATTTGAATCCCTATGTTCCCCTTGGAACGCAGAGGAATAAAAAACGGCTTCAGCTGTGGCTTAGAGATGTAGTCGTGTGCCTTCAGACAGATTGTTTATTATTCGATCCACAACCATAAATGACTCATCTACTTTGACGTGTTGTCCAACATACACTAGTTGAGACGAAATGACACTATTTATTTATTTGCTTACTTCTTTTCCAAGCCAAAGTGGGACATGTTCACAAGTGTTTCGACTTATATAAATAAAGATCTTCAAAGGAGCAGTTTAATGATGAACATTCTGGTTAATAGTCATTATGTTTTTACTGAAAGTGAAATCGGCTTCCTAATTAACACTAATAATAAAAACTTCTTTTTTCAGCCTTTGAAACCCGAAGCTCCACAATCGCCAAAATGGATAGTTACACCAGAGTTTGATGTAAGGGATATATTACATTATGATGGTGTTGACGAAGTACTATTCCTTGGAACAGGTCCAGATCCAAAACATTCACATTTATACTGGTAAGTATACGTATTGCTCTCTTTTTGGTTCCCAAATTGAACCTTTTGGGACTGCGAGTTGTCCCCGCATTATTTTGTGTATATTTATATAGCACAAATTATTGCTCTTAATCATATCAGGTCACACACAACTTTTTTCCTTCATTTATATACATCAGTGAAATTGATGATTAGACATCTCGATAAAAATCAATATAAGATAATGTACTGGATTGCATCATTAACTGACATAAATTAGAGGACTATTGGAAAACTAACTGGGATTACTGGCAGCCAGCTGTTCCACCCTAGTTTAGGACTTTTCAGCAGTACACACCCACCAGGGTTCGAGCCCAGGACCATCTGGTTACAAGGCGAGCTCGTAAACCATTAAGCCACTGGGACCTGATCCAATGGCCCACCAACTCACGACGTAGCGCGACCTCTAGCCAATATCTTCAGGTAGTATTTGTCATCACACCTAACCTGCTGCACCCTACTGGTCACACTAACCCCAGATGAAGAATCATAAACTACTAAGAAACAGCTTTTCAGTGCTCTCAGCTGGTTTTCCAATGGTTCTCTAACCAATGTCAGCTTATGAGGAAATCCTGTTAGCAATCAATTAAATCCCTACAAACCTTTATTTGAATAAGATAATGTACATTCAGAAATAATATTAGTGTTATCAATCAGCCATTGTTTTCATTATTCTCTAATTGAACGTCATATAGTTTCTAATGGATTATTTTCCCATCTTGTACTTTTTACCACACTGTATTATTCGTGATATAATCTCCAATATATTCTCTTTTACTGGTTATTGTATTCTGATATTCATTAATTTGTAACTGAAAAAGAGCATGGAGAAGAACCTATTGAAACCACAATTGTTCTCTCAGGTATTTTCTTGTTCTAAATTTCCTTTCTTCCTTCATCAATTCTCAATCATGGTTTAACTGAAATCAGGAGGCATCACTCATTTATAATAATAATAATAGTGGTGTTATTCTAAATGCAGTTCATTTGATACAGTACAGAGCTACATCTAATTTCCTCATTACAGGGGTAATAATTTAAAATACGGCATTTCCATTGATAATATTGTTCAGTACTAATATTTGAATGTAAAATTAGGATTTAAGTGAAAGCATTTACAACACTGTAACAATGAAAGCAAACAAAAATGAGGCCATTTACTTAGAGTTCCACAGTCAGTCAGTAATTTCCTGCCTCACACACTTTTCTCATCACATGAAATGTGTCCCGACCAAATAAGGTATTGTAGAGTCTTTGTACATAGTCCCCCAAACTTAAAGTCTCTTATAGCTGCCTCTTGTGTGTCGGTGGCACAGCGGTAGAATGTTTGCCATCCATGCATGTGGTCCGGGGTTCGATCCTTGGTAGACACACTTACTCACCTCACTAAGCCAGTAACAAGACTGGTAAAGGGGGAGGGTTGAGCAAGAGGCTAGCAACCCCATCCAGTTAAAATAAACGCCACTGCTACTGAAACTTCAAAGTTCTAGCATGTATCCTTATGTTCCACAAGGATAGTGAAGGAATAAGTAGACTTGCTTCTAGTTCTACCTGATGAGATGCAATAAAGGGAGAGTTGTGTGTAGAAAGGGTGTGCAGAATCTGACAAGATAATATTTGCCAATTTCTTTCAGGAGACAATCTCTCTGTCTGTCTATCTACAACAGTGTTAAGAGGATGACTTAGGGGCGCCTCACCCACCTAACTGACAGCTTTTAGCGCCCTTCGCAGCATAATAATGTTGACTAAGAGAAATAAGAAACAACAGGTGGAATACACGAATTAACAAACTGCAGCGGTAGAGACTCCGTGATGTAAGATGGCCTTAGCTTCCCTACATAGAACGTTATGCGAAATTTTTTTCTAAAAATTAATTTGATGATTTAATTTGATGATGAAGGGTTACATAACGATTTGATTTTGAGTGACATCAATAATGCCCACCCAGCAGTCCATTTCACCTGTGAAGGAGAATACAAAGACCCTCTTCAGTTCCTCAACTTTCTGCTACCCAGGGGAGGGTATGGTTCCATCAAAAGAACTATATTTTAAAGGTAGAGACCAAAACTCAGTATACACATTTCATTAGATTCGTATCGATGAAATACAAACGTAATCGTATCAGGTGGTTAGCATTTACAGCGCGGTACATTTATTCGGAAGACTGTGTGGAAAAAGAACTCTAGGTCATCCAAGACATTCTAAGCGAGAAGGGATATCCAGAGAAGTTCATTAAGGTCAACATGGGTTGCAATATTCGTAAACATGAACTAGCAACGGTGGAGAAAAAGCCTCTGTTTTTACGTGTACAGTTAAAGCGAGATACTCCTGCGGAGATTCTATCGCAACGTTTAGCCAGGATGATAAAGAAAAGTTTCTAATATGCGCACCTGTTCTTATCCTTCAGTACCTGTCCAGTGTCCACTCAGCAACTCAAAGATGTCTTACTTAACCTCAGCTCTTCTTCATGCATATATCATTTCAACTCTTACTGTGGTTCAAGGCATGTAGGGCATAAGATTAGGCAGGTTCGTCTACGGGTTCGAGAATATTTACCAGCTTGAATCAGCAAGAGGGAAATTAAGTGCATAAAACGCTTGATCCTGTCAAACCTGGTAGGTACTGGATACCGCATCGACGCCAGCACAGTCTTCAGGGTCATATACCAAATTCCGAAGTCGTTGTCACGTACAGTTCGCCTACGTCCCCTACACATAGCTGAATCTTTTGCTACAAGATTGACTAAACTGGAACTTTATATCCAAGAATAACACATTCAGACGCTGTTCTTACCATGGCCAAGCTTGGATTGAATTTTCTTCTTCTCACCAAGAGTACCTCTTCTCCTTATCCCTTATGGCCTTTTTCTTTTACCGTGCTTGTGATTACAATAATTACTATTATTATTCATTATAATCTATACCCTTCATCCAAACATTGTCTCAATAATATCGAATTTCCTATTTATACTATCTGGACTTATTATTATTGATATTATCTCTTTTCTCAATATATACCTCCACCAGTTTCATTTCACACATTCGTTATTTCATTATGAACTCCTCATTGCGTTCTTACTATCTCCGTCTCTTTAATAAGTACTACTTTGTACTAACCACTCACGTGAGACCTATAACCTTGAACTGGCTTGTTAATTTACTTCCTACCGAACATTCTAGGAATCTATTGTGACTAATCACCATCACCATAGACTCATATTTCACAGTATTTGGCAATCGGTTTAAGCCCAGCATGTTTGTCACACAAATACGACTATTTATTTTGACACCCCATAGCTAATCTGTTAGTCCACGTTAAAAAAATGTATCCGCCGCATAACTGGCCATTATTGTAACGATAACAAATATTATATTTTATAATTGTAAGAACCTGGAGAAAGCAATAATGGAAGTGAATATTTGTTCTTCTTTCAGATTGACTTTCAACATGTTGATGGTAACGTTTCAAATTCATCTTTATCCCTTAAAAGAGGCAGTTAAGATGCGTTTGAGACAGGTCATATAACATTTTCATCAAGTAACTAATTGTTCAACTACTTTTTTCCTCTTTTTCTATCAAGGACCTTATTATCAGATAGTGAGAACATATTATGCCTTACATGTGATAATGTCAACTACACCTTCAATGTGATAGATGTTTTTCCCAATGGACAGTACTTCATACAAGATGTACGTGGTTCAAGTGTACCGAAGACAATGCTGAAACGGATAGATAGAAATTTATCAGCAACAGATAGTAAGTAGTATGTTGAAAATTTAAAAAAATGTATTTTATGAATAAATGTTGGTTATAGAGTGATAAAGTATACCGACCCAAAGCAAACGACCAAACAAAGGCCTTATTTTAACAAAAATGTCTCCTAGTTTGGTAATGAGATTCTTCGTGTTATTACAAACCAAGCTTGGAAAAGCAATTCATTGAGATGACTGTATATTATGTCAACTCGCAACCGACTTATCACTCGAAGTAAATGCCACTCAGAAGAATAATCTAAAGTGCTGTTAATCTATTCGGATGATGGTAACGGTCTATAACTTCCTCCCCGGTTGTCCATCTGTGGATAGTTGTTCAAGATTTCAAAAAACATTAGACAACTCGTCCTTCCTAAACGCCTATTGTCAATACAAAAGTGAAATACAAGACCAGAGTGACGATTGGTTGGTTGTCCAAGGTCGTTTCGCTAGTCGTTTTCATCGGTTGGCATACTTTAGTCTTACGTGAATGATATAATTTATCCTGCATCAACATTACTGGATTACAGTCTCTGCATAAATAATGACAACGTTATTTCCGTACGAAACATAAAACAAGGCGTCACCTTTACTTGGAAATAGGTGTCACATGATGTCTTTTTCCAACCTGGAGTTTTCTGGCAATCCTTTGTTACCTCTTGTTATGACAGTGTGATACTGGGTTGTGATTTGATCTAACGCGACTACAATGTGCCCCGGTAAAAGTAAAAAATAGACACCAAAGTCAAACGTCCTTGAGCCAGCCAGTCACATCGCCCAGAATTAAAAAAGGAAGTTTTCACGATCTCTTTGCAAGTTTCATCCTACCCCTAGTCTTCGATGGAAGAAGCACTCTAACCCCAATCTTCCTAGGAAGTTTAACCCTAACCATAACCATAACCCTACTGTAAACCTACCCTAATCTTAACCCTGAATACGAATGAAACTTGCAACGAAGATCATAAGAAGTATGCAGTTGTAATGCTGGGCGAACTGATTGGTTCGCTCAAGGTCATTTGATTTTGGTATCTATTCTTTACTGTTGCCTGAGACTTAGCACGAAGCACAATGACAAACTAGTCATTTGAAAATAGGTCCAATTCTGAGTTGGATACAAAAGTCAGACTGGAAAAAATGACAACCGGATAAACTATGGGGTATATTATACTTATCAAACCCCCAGAAATGTAAGCGATAAGCAAATATAATTGGTTGCATGACCTTGGAAAATTTGGCCATAAATAAATAAATCATAACTGTCCAATGGGATTATTATCTCAGTTCATGAATCAACCACGGTTTCACGTCTAATAAAGATGCTTGTCCGTCCTAGTAGAGCATTTGTTTTAAAAGTTAGGGTGTTGTCGAATAAAGGTTGTCCACTCTGCAACCATAATGCTCACTGCGTTTTAACTATATTCTTGCAAACATTAAATGATACTGGTTAGACATCCTTTGAAAACCAGCCGGCAGTATTGGATGGCTGTTTCGTCGTAGTCTTGAACTCTTCAAAAGTACTTACCCACTACAGGTGTTCGAACCTAGGATCTTCCGTGTACAAGACTAGGTAGCTCGTAAACCATTCATTACCCAATGATACGCAATCCAACAGCCAGCCTATGAATCCTAATTTCTTCAGATTCAGGATAAAGCGCAACTGGCACTAGTCAGTGTCATTGAGGGCGAGTATTTCTCCTCACACTCGACCTACTGTAGCATGGTCATTTACCTAAACTGGATAATGTGTATTTATGCAACATGTTTCCAGCAATCGGCACACATACGCATTTGCCATGGGGATATATTTAAAAATTATGCAGCATTACGCAGTACGGTAAAGGTGGACACAAGTTCAGTTAAAAGGCAAATCGACGGTGAAAATAAAAATGGAGGTCAATACGCCAAAGAAGGATTTCTGGGCCGTATCTGTATCGATTTGTCCCTCGATTGCGGATTCATCTGAATACCAGGATTCTAAAAGATCTCTGGTGATTTTATCAACCAAAATACTGAACAGTGAGAGAAGACAAAACCAACATCATCTACGTGGTGAATCGCAGCGACTGTGAAAAACATTACATTGGTCAAAGTTGACACTCTCTTTACCTTCCTGTACATGGAAATAAACTGGTCGCAACAGAAAGGACTACGGACACAAGTTCACTTGGGATAATGTTCAAATCTTAAACAGAGGAAACAAAAGAGATGCCAAAGAATTTCAAGAAGCCTGGTATTCAGATGAATCGGTAATCAATAAACATTGACAGAAATAGGATCTACAAATCCATCGGTTGGAAATCACATGAATAAAAGATCAAATTTCAGGTCAAGGAAACAATCAATACCAATACAATTGGACTAGTTAATGAAAAAGTACACTATAAGGTTGCCGGGAGAAATGACTTATTAATTCATGAAGCATGTTGATAGCTTATTTCTAATTGAAGTATGTGCTGACGCTGTTGTCTATTAAGATAATGAAAGTTTTTCAAATAAACTATCCAGCCTACAGAACACAACTGCATCAAAATCATCTACCTGAGCTGCGAATCTTCACTATATCTAAGGGATATAGTAGTGTGGTGAGAACTGTTTGCAAGCCCATATTGTAGACAACAGTTTACATCAATATTTACGTCTGGAATCGGTGTCATTAGAAAAACCCAATAACAAAGCCTAACCTTGAAGAACTCACCAACGTGTGCAAAGACGATTACCAGATATATGGCCTAAACTTCTAAGAAGTGGTCACAAGCAGCACAGGAAAACTTTCATCAAGAAAACGACCAGTCACAAGACGCTGCTTCTCTGCTAACCATAACAAATAATAATATACATAAAAATCTATAAATATCTGTTGATTTTCTCAGTAAGCGATCTGTTGCCTGTCGTTACAGCAGTACATCTATCGTGGTATATAAGTTAAATTTTCAAAGGAAAGCTCGATATGACCAAGAATTGTTTCTGAACGCATAAAAGTGGTATCAACTTCCAAAAAACTTCAGGATACTCCTCAAACACATATAAATGATAGATTTAAAAGCAAACGAATCTCAACCGCGCAATGAAATAACTAGGTTGTCCTTTTCATCATTAATAGACTCTTGGGGGATTCATTTCACTTCTGAGGACACTTATTAATACAGATCTAACTGCAAGCTTTAAGCAGACGAAACATTTTTCTCGCTGCTACTGACATAATGCTATTTTTAGGTAAACGGTAAGGCGTCAGTGGAATGTTTAAAAATTGATCAGTGAAAGACAAATCAAGAGGAAATCTCAGGCAGAGAATACGAAATTATCATTGCTGTGGAAAAAATGATGCATTGAATATATATCTCATCTTAAATTATGAATTCCAAGAGGTTTCTCTGGATTTTACTCAATTCAAAGGATTCGGTATTCACAAGAGTTATTTGTTGTGATTTGATTTATATCAAGTTTGCCCACAGGCTGACATGAGTTAGAGAATTACTGAAAACAAGCATGGATTACTGGATACCTCTTTCGTCCTAGTTCACGACTCTTACACAGTGAGCACTAGGTCAAGTGTGAGGACGAAATTTCGCAGATAACACTGGCTGGTTGCCGCGCTGAAATCACGAACCGGTAGAAGTTGGAATTCATGAAGTGGTCATTGGATCTTGTCCCGATGGCTGAATGCTTTAAGGAATCGCCTTGTAGCCTTAAGATCCTCGTTCGAAACCCGACGGGTTTGTACTGCCCACGAGTCGCAAACTTTGACAAAGCAGATATCCAGTAATCCCTGGTTTTCAATGGATATGTAACTGATATCAGTCCACGGTCCAACTTGATATTCATTTATAAACGACTCTGGTGGGGTTTTTAAGATGAAACCTTGTTAGATGGCTGGTGGCTCGCCTATGCCCAGATGTCTTAATTTCCCTACCTTGGATAGGTTTGATCGAATTTAGATATTATTCTGAAGGACTTTTTGAATGGCACTGAATGTCCTGAATTGACCATCCAAAAACTCAAACCCATGCTAGGTATCCAAAAAAACACGCCCAACCCTTGTCCCTGCCATGGTCATCACAAACAGGTAATTCTTTTATTAATGACTATCCCAATGCCTTTTTTATCCAAATTTCCTGTTTATTCATGTTATTTTTAAGATTTTCTTAATCCCTATTTACACTACCACATTTTCATACCCAAACTTCCTGTCTATTTTTCGTCATTTGATTATTTCTACATATTTAATCCCGGATTGCATAAACAATTATTCGTCACATTAGTTATGATCCCACTAGATTTTTTATCCAAACATCCTGTCTATTTTTGTTATTTCTAAATTTCTAACCCCTAATTGCACAATATGTCAATCTCCTCAGTAATTATGATACTACTTTGCTTGAGTTTAACCCATCCCCCTGTTTATTGTGGCATTTTAATTCCTAATTGTAATTTTATTAATTTTACCCTTGACCGGAAATTATTCTGGAACTTTCCCATCTACTTATTATAAATACACAAATGTACAGCTATCTAGTTGATGACTTCGTCGGAAAGAAACTTTCCTTCGCTGCAACTGTCTTTTTATTATTCCCCGCAATCTGAAATCAGTTGAGTCACCATGAATTATTACTTGAAGATATCACTTGATCCGACAATTTAAGATAACCTGTTGAGATTTTCATTTCACTTGACTGTTAATCCTCTTTCTAAAAGTTATTTTAATTAGCAGTAATTCTCTCACTAAAATTTTTTTCCTAAAAGAAGGGCTTAGTTAATTTCAATCTTTTTTTATTTGCCTTCTTCATTATCTTAGATTCAACAGTATCAACAACATTCATAAAATATTTTGTACAAAATGAACAATTTGAAACATTTGTCAAAACACATGCACTACCACGTACTGAATATACAAAGTTGGTACTGCGTCAAGGGACAAGACATCAGATAGAAGTTGAAGCTAAATTACTGCTCCCACCAGAACTTGATCCAGCACATATTACACAATATCCACTGTTACTATACACGTAAGTCTTGGCGTAAATGCATTGTAACCGATTAAAAATGCCCATTAAATGTTTTTTGGAAAGAATGGTTACTGAACAAAGAATAACCTTATCGATAACTTCATCATCATGAGGTTCTACAGTAATACATACGTAAAAGTGAATGAATTAGTGTTATTTATAACACTTATGTTTAATGTTGCTCTAATGACTTGATTTTTCGTGCTTGCTCAGGAAAATCTATCAGTGTGGCTCAGTAAAGGTGTAGTAAGAACCATCAACAGTTCGATATTAGACCACCTGGTCCAAACCGGTCGGCCACAAAGCAAGCATTGAAGAATCCTTCTCTATCATCTGCAGGATACCAAATAAATTTCCTAAAACTGTATGCTCCAAATAGCAGAGGCTATCACGACTCGCATGAGACAACTAGTGCTTTGTGTGCAGTAGAAGTAAGTCCAGCAACTACTACTGCCCTGGCGAGCCTTCAGTGGAGACTATAAATTCATAAATTTGTATCATTATCTCTCCTAATTTCTCTGACATTCATTCAGTGTACTTTTATGTTATGTTGATGCTATTGAACTGTAATCCATTGATACTATTGATTCGATGTTATGTAAAAAACATTAATGTTGTCAGTAACATTAATTCATTCACTATTATGCGTATATAACTGTAGAACCTGATGAAGAGCAGGTTATCGAAAAGGATATTCCTTGTTCAGTAGCCATTCTTTTGAAAAATTCTTGGCTTTTTACGCTGAACATAATGAGACGTAAAGACATGTTGGAGTACATATTATATATTATTATTTCGCGTATCTTGCGTCTACTGTGGACGACAGAGCTTTAGCGGTAATTCTCCATCGTTATTTTTGACCGGCTACCTGACTGCTCACTAACTTTCATCTCCTAATCACGCCTTCAGATATATAACTGATCACACTTTATCCAGATGTTGGTCATGGGCCTGAAGCGCGACATCTCTTGAAATCTCCTTCGGCGTACATTTTGAGAAATAGATTCCTGGCTGACTGTCATAGTTTCTTATTACGCATCCTTCTCCATCAACCTGCAGATCTCCAGGGTCGAATGAATGAAAGTCTGTAGCTGGCTGTTGGAAATGCTTTACGTGACGCGAGCATTAAGTCTTTGAACCATATAGAATTGTCGTCCAGTCATGTGTTGAGAATTTGGATGTTTCACTATGCCATGAGTGGTGTGGATTTCTGTGTGGAACTTCTGTTTATTTCTTCTGATCCCGACTTTGAATTTATCCTTCGTGTTGCCTATAACTGAAATGATATCACCCAGTCTAGGTGCGTGAAACTGGTGACTCCCCTTAGATTTCTTCAATTAGGCATGATAGGAATACCGTCGATCTGTCTGTTGTTGTTGAACACGAAGTGTACATTTATGGTGCATCTTAGAAGCAGCTCTCTTAGACAAATGACTGGAACACCTATATTGATCTTGTTGTCTAGTACATATTGCAATACGAATTCTATAGTCTACATAAGTTGTTCCTCATTTAAGTTTACACCACATAAACTAGAAATAAATTCTATGACGTCCTCATCACTAAGATCTACAATATTTTTGGGTAATGATTGCAAGATTCCAGCTATCAACTTCACCGCTCCACAGTAGTTGAATCAGGACATATCTAGAACTAGATGAAGAGGTTAGCCAACTTTAGGCAGAAAATACAGCCGTGATGTGTAACTTCCAGTTGATCTAAGAGAGTGGAAGGCAGGCTGAGACATTACCTCTGTTCTCCCTTAAGTACTTAAGGATGTTTCTCTGCTGCATTTCAGCCTTTCGGCTTAAATCTGTTGTGTTGTTAAGCTTCTGGAAATGCGTCTAGTCGCTTAGAAGAAAATTTACTTCATCAACATACTTTTATTCATTATCAATACTTCCATCCCCTTATCTAGCCTAAAAATTATGACATTTTCATTATTTCTTAACTTATTCAGAGCCTCTCGTTGTGATTTAGTCTGCAGAGTTTCGTGAGAATAACTTTTGCTTCATAACTACTAACAACATTCGATTTATAGATTTCTAAAGACTCGAGCTGGTGAAGTGCATGTCGTTTGAGTGATTGGGATAAACTTTATTACAACGAAGAGAAGACGTGCAGTAAATTTTATGACATCACTCATCCTGGATCCTTTTTTAGTCATTATTTACAGAAACAGGTTTGACTATTGTTAAGATGGGACTATGGTTAGCATATTATGTCGATTCACTAACTGATGTTGTAGGTCACTTACTCTCCCCACAATCTGATAGTCCTTGGCGGTTTTGTAAACAGGACAAATTAACTATTCAGCCATAATATCAGCTCTTAATGAAACTCAAAAAAATCTACTCCAAAACTTACTGAAATTGTATCACAACTGGGATATGGATTTATATAATAACAAATACTTTTCAAGTTTGACACCTGACGCAACTGCCAGCCAGTGTCACAGGCGAGTAACCTGAAAATTAATTCAATGCTAAATAGGGATGAAACAACCACCCAGCAACCCTTGGGAGTTTCTAATAAATCTCTGACTGATGGTAGTCTGTGATTAACTTGAAACTGACCCTTGAAACTTAATCTAATGGTCGCTAGTGACTGATAGAACACTTCGTTTCCTGAAGTTCCAGTGGTCAGTGAGGTCCACTGTGTCGGGCGTTCGGACTAATACTCTTCAGTGACACTGATCAGTGCTCGTACTGAAAGTCACGAATTATTAGAAGTTAGAACTCATGAGGCGTACGACCGGGTCCCTCGTGGCTGAATGGTCTACAAACTCGCTTCGTAAATAGAAGGTGCTGGTGTGTTGAAAGCTGTCTGCAAGATAAAATTGTAGACACCAATTTACGTCAGTGTTTACGTCCCAAATCCAGGCCACAAGCTAAAACACTAGCAAAGCGTCACCTTGAGGAACTCACCAACCAATCACAGTAGACTTAGCGTGTGCAAATATGATTCGCAGATATATGCTCTGACCTTCAAAGAAACGGCTACAAAGAGATGACAGAATAACGTTTAGCGAAAAAACAACCAATCAGGAGAAGCTGTATTTCTGCTAATAATAACGAATAATAATGTAGATAAAACTACATATAAATATCTCTTGATTTCCTCAATAAAAGATCTGTTGCCTGGCGCTTGTCTTCTGTCGTTACACTGGGTTTCAAAACCGATGACCCCGTGCTACGGATTACTTCGAAACTAGAACAAAACAGCTGTCCAGTACTCCTTGGTTTTCAGTGATTCTCTAGCTGACATCAATCTGTCGTCAATCCCAAAGTAAATTAAATCCGCATAAACTAACCCTTGAAGAATACTTGTTTATTTAAAAAGAAGACAGCTACTTATATTTTCCGCTTATATACCATGTTCCTCTTCATTTCTCTTTTAACAAATTCATTACAGCTATGGAGGTCCGACAAATCAGGTGGTCAGTACAAAATTTGTAATCGATTGGATGACATATATATCAGCAACTGCAAAAGTTATCGTTGCTGTCGTTGATGGTCGTGGTACATCAGGTCGTGGAAGAGTTTATGAGCATTCCATTTATAAGAAACTTGGTTTAGTTGAAGTTGAAGACCAGTTGGATAGTGTTAAGTAAGTGTTTAATGCAATTTAATGTAATTTTATACTGTTTCAAATATACCCCGTCTTTGAAAAATCTCAGATAGACTGCTTCTTCACATCTTACGCTCATTGAAAATACTTGATCATCACCGATACAAGTGCATAAGAATGCGGTAAAAATCTTTGGAAACAACAATTCACATTCGAGATCATCAGGAGAGATGTCTAATAAACTCATGTATAGTCCTAGTAGCTCACTATATATATATATATATTGAAATTAGCATTGAAAATGTTGTCCAGAAAGACAGTGAAAGGTTTGTAGCTCAACCATCCAACTCACAGGACATGACTGCACAAATATCATCTTTAACGTTCAAAAGCGATATTTGCGTCCTATTATACTAGAGGTCCAATACACCTCTGGGAAATGCATAGCCACAAAACGCCTCAAAGACAACAAAAAGATACCTTGAATAAAGCAAGAACAAGAGCCTTTGCAGAATGAAGCAATGCCATCATTTCTTTCATTGGATTCTCATCAGCTGCTTACAGCCCCAAGACATTATTAAGTTTATACACACAAAGAAGTTGCTCTAGCATACTATATTCAGACTAATGTCGACATAATCGAAGGATCAAGCTTCAGTTCTCAGTTTTGAAATTAGATTCTGTCGATTCCTTATGTGACTCTAATCCATCGAAAGTTTTTGAGAGTGGGTGGTAGTTTGTAAGTACAGAGTGATTAGATGAGTTGGCGAGTAAAGCAGTGAGATTGCAAGCATTCATTGTAAATCTTTAACCGAGTTACTTCTCTATATATGTCCAAACCAAGTTCACTTTTAACAGTTTGAAAAATTTGGGCATTGAGTATATAATAATCATTATAATAAAGGTTTTTGTATTTCCCAGTGAATGGATGGAAAAACAAAACGAAATTTTTGTTTTTACCGACGTTTCACTACTTAATGCTGGAACTACCTTCATCAAAGTATTAATAAAGCAGAATTTACGAAATCTCAGCTTATTTATGACAACTTAACCATCGTTCCTCACCATGGGGTCATGTTTGCGTTGCCAATTCGGCCAATCGGTAAATATAACAAAATCAGGTGTAGATTGTTGGATTTGATGAGTGCGTAAAATTATAAAAGCAGCGTATGTTTACATAATGAAATTGCGTACCACATCCATGTTGATTTTGTCACTTCATGGGGGAAGGAGATGTTGTAATTAGGTCAAATTCTGTGTAAGTTCATCATTTCTATTCAGACAATTTGGATTCCATTTGATGGGAGGTGCTTGTGATATGAGATGTTCTCTGTGATTTCTGAAATCTGTTTTCTGGGTGATTTCAATATTGTCAAAATCAATTTTCTGGCCTGATTCTATAGCGTGTAGACGAGCTATGAATGATGATTTTCCAAGCTTTTCTAGTTTAACTGTATTTCTCGATGGTAGTCGAACAGAGACGGCTCTACGGTGTTCATTTCTTCCGATTTTGATTTCCCCCTGGCGATGTTTGTCCGATGTATGTCGTATCACATTCCAAGTATTTTTATTTTGTAGGCACAATTACCTCTCTGGATATTCTACAAAAATCTGTCACCAAGTGATTCGGTGACTTGAAAGATTCTGCAGGGAGGCGGTTTTGCAGAAACTTCATATATTAATTCCTCTTTATGAATTTTGAATAAAACAAGAACAGCAGTTTGCATTTGCAAAATAATATGATACTATCATTAATTTTGTCGGGTGTTTTTTCTCTCTCTTCTGTCCACTCCTGTATGCTACATGAGGTGTGTGGCTCCTTGAACTGCTGCACTTCTGTGCAAATGGGAATGTTGACAGTCAGTCAGTCATACACATTTACTTTACGCCACGAAGTCAAGTTCACATTTAAACTCAATACTTGAAAATGAGTAGGTACAGAGAATAAAATCATAGATGGATAGATATCTGGTCTACGAGTCTGACATGTAGTACACTGGTCTTATCCTTCACCGAACTTTATATTCGGATTTTCTTGTGGTACTAACGCTAAGCATTATATATATATATGTTTACAAGCTTAATGTAAGCTTTGGCCTTTGTTCCACTTCAGAGCCTTAATTCGACGCTATCATTACATAAACGAAAGTCAAGTCGGTGCTTATGGTTGGGTAAGTCAACTTATTTGCTTATAAAACTTATATTTAAGAGAATATTAAAGCTAAAATGCCTATCAGTGTAGTCAAATAGACAGAGAAATAGTATATCAGTCAACATGACTATATGATCTGTGAACATTGATTAGCGGTCAAATTTGGCACATCATAAATCTGTAAATTAACGAGAAGGTGGTAAATAAATAGAAATACTAAAGTGTGGTTATGGTTGGAAGCAGTCTGCAAGAATCCTTGGACCTAAGTTTCGTGCTGTTGCCACTCATCAACGAGGCCTATCTAGGATCAATCTTGTCTAGACACATGACATTAGTTGGCACCCAATCAAATTATCTGATACAGTCCAACAGCAGGTCAATCACGTTTTCGAACAACTCAGTGAGGACTTCTCTCACTTCAGCAACACTGTATGGTATGGGTTCCCTAAAGAGTACACATACGTTTTGCTGACTGTTGAGTGCCGACAAACCCGAAACCTAGTTTCAAGCCTGCCTGCCGTTTGCCTCAAACCATCTAATAACAACAATTCTGACTGCACTGTGAGGGTAAGCCAACATTGCAAATTTGACTAACAGAATTCAATCTGCAGTAAACAGTAGACTAGGCACATGAGACAAGTTAGCGTCCAATCAAAAACAATGCTAACTGTTACAAAAAGCAGACAAAAAGAGACAAGTAAGTAAATCTGAAGTCAATTATCCGGTTATGACCAGTATTGGTGTCCAGGATGTGCGTTTCGTCCTATTTGAGACACTTCAGTCCGCATCAGCATAAAACTTGGAAATAACACTTAGTTCCTGCTTAGATACATTAAATAGCAGTAATGCAATATGAGGCATCAAAGTAGTATAATCTTAGCTCATAGAAATCTTTAGGAAAAAAGAAAGAAAGAAACAGTCATCTAAGCCAAAGTAGTCGACTTATTGGTTCTTTCACTTAAAGTCCGTAAACATGAACCACTATAAAAATTACAGCAAGAAGAAAGCAAAAATGCATGTACCGCTGAAATTCCTATTAAGACCAAGAACTTTATTAACTCTAATTTGAGCAGTTATGTACTGCAGTTACTACATACCAGCATCATAATAGGTGAAAGATATAATCTTGACTGTCTAACTTCATTAGCTAACGTCACTTAAGGATCCAGGTAAAGTTATTCAGAGATAAGTGGTTCTGTGGTAAGGTTTCTTCGAAAATGTGCTCCGTTGAATTTGTGCATAAGTGAATTCAACGATATTATTATTATTTTCTTCGATTTTTAGGGGAGCACTTAGTCTCACTAATGCATGGCCAGTTCACTCTGCTCTTTGTTGTCATCTTTAGCCGGCATCCTGATTGTCCATAAGCTATCATTTCTTCCTTACACAATCTCCACCACTAAGCCACTCTCAGACCAACGACCAAGTCACTGTTTCCCATCGAGGTTATACTAGAGGGAGTAGGGCATTACGTAAATCGACGGTTCCTTCAGCATATGTCCATCCCATCTCCGTTTCCTTCTGCATATTTATCGAGTGACAGAAGTCAAATATATTACACTCTTATCCCCTTTTCCTCATACATATACATGTAGGTTAAATTTTGCTGAAGCAATGCGACTCTTAGTCACTTTAATTGGCGTACATTCACATTTGATTTCCACTTGTATGCTTCTTACATCAAAACTGTGCCAATAACGCATTATCTTTCAGCTTATGTAGCGAGAGTTACAGAGGTAACGAGATTAGTGTTCAATTCAAGTCTCTACTATGCCTTAGAAGTATAAATAAAACATGCAGAAAAAGTAGTTTTAACCAAAGCCTGATACAGTGTTGCCCACATGCTGGAAGAAAACGTAATTTTTTTGCTGAAAGACTTTTGCAATTGAGCTTACCTCTAATAAAGTGATTTAACCCTATGTATAAATGAGAAAGATAAGCAACCAGAAAAGAAATTAGATCACCTAGCTCATCTGAGGTAAGCGATACAACACTACGGCACACCATAATACAATGTAACCTGATATGTGGAGTAAAAAATCATTTAAGCGGAAAGGTGAACTTAGTTCTCATCCGCTCAACTTTGAAGAAGATGATGTCTTTTCTCCTGAAGACACAAATTTTGTATCAATGAGCATCAAAGTATCATAATTTATCAATAGAAACTATCCATATTAGATCTTCTGAAACTATTCAGTGACAAAATTTTCAATAGATAAATCACTTCTACATTATTTCAGAGAGGGACAAAGTTGCTATCTTTGTGATGATTTATCGCTGATAGGATTATCAAAAAAGGCACATGAATAATGTCAAGTACCTTGGACTGAGTATTTCCTACGATCTTATCTGGTCCTCTCACATCTTGCTAGTTACTAGAAAGATGTTTCGCTTAACGTTCTACGTAAGGAAGTTTAGGCAGTCTGGTATAAAGCAGTCTTTGCTTTCTCAGTTTGTCAACTCTTGTATTCTAACCATCCCTCTTTACTGCTCCCCATTAATCTTTCTTGGACTACTTAAGAAAGACTTTGCTTTGCTGAGTAGGGCACTAAAAGATGTTAGTAGCGTAAGTGGGATTTCATTAAACCAACTGGTTAACACTATTGTGGATAGACATATAATGTCATGTAAGAAACTAGTGAATTCTATATTGTCAGACCCCGAAGACCCTCTCTATACGCAGCTCTCTCCTTGCATTTCATCTGGTAGAACTGGAAGCAACTATAGGAGGCTATATGCCAGGACTACCAAGTATAAAAACTCCACAATACCTTATCTGGAACAACTGTTATGTGATGAGAAAACTGTTAGATATGACACGATCAACTTACTGCGGCACTCTAACAAACAGTTCCCATTAGCTTTTCTTCTCCTTTCTTTGTTACTATTACATTGTTGCTCACATATTCTATTACACACTAATTTTATATTTCATATCCTGTGGTGCATTGTTTAAATGTGTGAGTACAATGCCGTTCTTTTTTATTTCTTTTATTTATCTTTTTTCTTTTTGTTGTTGCTGCTTTTTATTTTTAAAATCTTATAAAAATTTATGAGGTAATTAGATGTAATATTGTAATGCACGCTGAAAATTCCATACCTGTACCACAAATACTGTTTGGAATAAAGCTAAAGGAGTACTGGATAACTGTTTCTCCCTAGCTTGGGACTTTTCATAGCCAGAAAACAGAAACTTCCAGTTACAAAGGAAGCTCGTAGGCCATTCAGCCACCAGGATTCGATCCAGTGGGCCATGTATTCCGAATTCGACCAATTCGTGGTTTTAGAGCAACTGACACTAGCCATTGTCATCACTGGCGAGTATTTTTCCTCACGCCCTATTTGTCGATTAGTGCTGAAGAGTCTCAAACTGGGGTGAAACACCTATCCAATGTACACCCTAAGAGTTTTCAAAGGTTCTCTGACTTATATCAATACTTGCTCAAACTTGAAACAAATCAATTTCCTACAAACTTATTCGTGGAGATCACAAAACCAGGAAAAACTAAGTTCCAAACTTCCTGGAAGATATTATATACAAACAAACTGGGGGAATTGTCATAGGGTCACTAATATCCCCAATTGTGACAGATATATTCATGGATAGGTGAAAAAACTTAGCGGTTGAAGCGTTCAGCCCCACGCCAAGAGTATCGTTGAGGTATATAGAACATAGGACTTAAACAGACTTTACGAACACATTAACTCAAATGTGGAGGCAATTCAATTCACTTATGAATTTTAAAGTCAAGAAGGGGAACTTCCAATGTTACATTATAGCGTATAAAGGAAAAAGATGAGAAGTCAAACACTAGCGTTTACAGAAAACCCACACATTCAAACAGATTTTTGGATTTCCGATCACCCCATCTTTATGCCAGTGAAAATAGGATTGGTGAAATGTTTAAATAATAGAGCACAAAAACTAAGTATTACCAGAGAAAGTCTAAGAAAGGAAGTGAAGCATATAAGTGAAACTTTGAAACTGAATAATTACCCCGATAAATTAGTGAGAAAATATGTAGGGAAATGTAAAAGTGAAATAAACAGTAACAGTAGTGATCATAAAAATAACAATAGTAATAATAGTAGTATTAGTGATGACATGCATGTCAAACATGCGCAAGATAATGACAACACCAAAAATAAGGAATGTAAATCATCAGTAGTAATTCCATACAAGAAAGGAGCCTCGGAAACCTTACGCAGAATTCTTAACAAAGCAGGAATAAAAGTGGCGTTAAACCCACAAACTCAATTAGAAACAAGCTTTGTCGGTTAAAGCATCAATCCTGTGGAGCCTTTAAAACAAAACAGTTTAGCTTATATAATACCCTGCCGGAATGATTGTCTGGTCAAATACATAAGTCAAAGTAGTAGGACAGGCGCAGTCAGACTAACCGAGCATAGAAACCTAGCAAAATCTAGATTTGGTTGACCCAAATACAATAAGAAATCTGGAGAATAGTTCATCTATAGCATTCATCGCATGCCATTACACACAACCATACAATAGGATGATGGAATAAGATGACAGTTTTGAAATCTAATGTCACAAGCTGGAGGGAGCAGGATTGATAACAGAAGCTTTGTTTATCGAATCAACTGCAAATACTTGTAGTAGGAATGATTCAACACTTTTCCCAGATATCTGGAAAATTCTACTATCCCAATGACGACAAATAGGAGAGAAGAAGGAAAACTATAAAACTCAAGTTTCAAAGTCGTGTGATTATAATTGATGAAATGATTACGAACAATAGTAGATTGTGTTCGAAACTGTGTCATCCAGTATACAATATTACTGTTTCACTGTGTGATACATCTAATAAACAGACCAATATGGAATTACTCACTGCCAGAGTGCTCAAGTTCTACACTTTATATTCCTGGGAGATGACATCTGTAAACAATCAAAGTAATGGTCACGTTAGTTCTAATTTGCAAAATTCATGTAATGCGTATTTGCCTGACTTTTTAAAATATTCTTTTGTAGAAAGAAATTAACTCTTATTCGTTTTCTTCATCATTTCAAATACTGATGTAGTCTTACGGTGGATTCACTGTTGGCCATCTACTCACCAGACCAGAGAATGAATGGATACGATGTGGGATTTCAGTTGCTCCAGTTACAGATTTCCGATATTATTGTAAGCATTATTGTGTAATGTATACTTATTGCCAGCTGTTTTGATAAAACTGTCTATAATCTGTCTGAACCTGGAAATGCAGGAATAGTGCTTAAGCAGTAAGCAGAGATATAGTGGTGTGTAGAGAAGGCTACTGTAACCTTTTTATTCTGACACAGAACACTAGGAAGACTCTCTAACTGGGATTTATCCGTAGTTAAATACAGTCTGTTAATTTCGCTTGTTGAGATGGAAATACTTTTAGTAATTCTTAGAGGGAAACATGAAAGAGCTCATTTCGTCCACTTTATAACTCAGTCTTCTGATGTGCCTACAAGGATCCTTCTTTTTAACTGTCTACAACCTGAACAATACAAAAGTATGATATTCAATTGTTGGTTTGCAAGGATTTAACTGGTTACAGAACTCCAGCATGAGCTGACATTGGTTAAAGAACAATTGGAATACTAGCTGGCAGTACTGGACAGCTGTTTTGCTCTTGTTGTTCTAAACTCTTCGATAGCACGCACACACCACTAGAGTTCGAATCCAGGAACGTCCGGTTACAAGGCGATGTTGTAGACCATTCAGACGCTGAGACCCCATTCAATGGCCCATGAATTTCATCCTCTGCTAAATCAAAAACTATACAGCGTGACTGTCACAAGCCAGTGTCATCTTTGGCGAGTGTTTGTACTCACACCCTACCTGCTGTACACCATCAGTCACAAATTCCTACTAGAACCCAGGTATCTACCTACCTGAGAAGGACCAGTCACTAGTGAGCATCAGATTAATATTAAATTGTTGGTTTGCAGGGACCTGAATAGTTGCATAAGCTGACATCGGCTACTTGTCATCACTAGTAACTAACTACAGGAATAAATTGCCTGAATTCATAGTAGGAAGTTTTGATCATAAAGGTCTACCAAGTTGAGCGTGACGACAGATTCTCATCGATGACACTGACCAGCAACCGCACTATTGGCTGGAAGTTGACAAAAGTTAGAATTGATAGGCTTCTGAATTCTGTCTTTATCAGTTCTCCTTGAAAGCTGAAGCTCAAGGGTTGAATGGCTGGTTAGGTCATGGATGCATACTGCTATAAAGTGTCAGACAAGGAAAAATAGCTGTCAAATATCCGGAACGCAAAGATACTGGACCTGCTGTTGTTTTCAGAAGACTGAGCCTAATACGCAGAATACTGTTTACAGTAACCGACGCCGAACAACAGAAAATGGTTGAGAAATACAACTGTTTATTCTTTAAACAATAACAAAACGGATTTACAATAGATAATCAGTGCTAGGGTTTATAAGTAAGCGTTGATGTAATATGCAGTAATAATACTGATTGCATTTCTCGAATCTTCAGTCAACTAGTACTTTTTTCTCCTTCACGTTCCACAGTTGAACATAGGGCTTCAAGCTAATGGCTTGAAGTTTCTGAAGCAGTGTTTATTTTACAGGATAGGGTTGCTAGCCTCATGCTCAACCTTTCCTCTTTACCAGAATTGTTTCTGGCCCAGCGAGGTAAAGGAGTGCGCCGGCCAGGGATCGACCCCCGGATCATGTGCATGGTTGGCAAGCGTCCAAACCTTTATACCACCGACGCACACCAGTCAACTAGTATACGATTATGCAATGATAGTCTTCTTGTTTCCCACCAGATAGAGGCTGATTCGAATAAACAAACGACTCAGTGTTCACTAGCATTGACAACAGCTATCCAGTACTCTCTGGTTTCCAATATATATCTCTCTCTGTCACTGAAATCACTTCATCCATATTGAGATGAACTTATTCGTCCCAGTAACGAATAAAGCAAAAATTTGGCATGATGATCTCTACTTTTATGTGAATAATAAATCTTATTAGATAGTCTAAGTCAAACGGCAAGAAGCTTTTAATTCAGGTGTTCTGGTTATTGACACTTGTGAGAGAAGGGACGGATGTCCCTAAGAGTGATTCGAAATTTGATCACTTCATACTGCCTCTGAATGAGCGCACGTAGGATTGTAATGTTGATACCGATTCGTCATTCAATCGGTGTCACAAACGAGTTGACACAAGATACTGGATACACCTCAGTATGCAATTAATTTTAATTACTTGTAGTCAAACGGTTCTTTGTACAGTGCGTCGGTAGCACGGCGGTTAGGACTCCCGTCAACCATTCACATGGTCCCGGGTTCTATTCCCTGACGACGCACACGCGATTTCAGTGGTTGGACTGCAAAATTTGGACTACCGGTATCACATGCTGAAAATACAGAAAATACGGCGTGGAGTCAAGCTATAAACAAAGTTTGTCCTTGATCACAAATTGTTCAATTTTTTCTGTCTACGTTTTTTCGTGTTTCTATCTTTAGCAACTGTATATACTGAAAGATATCTGGGCAGATTCATTGACGATCCAGATGCGTATGCAGTAAGTGATTTATTGAAACTATGACTGTTAATTCATAATAATCATATTATACTAATATGGTGTGTGCTACTGACAAGATGTATCAGTAGTATAAAAAGGGACTTTCATGGGTACAAATGCATCAAATAGTGGAGAGACAGATTTAACATCAGAGAGAGGAAATGAACCACTATAGCAGTGGCAAAACATAAGAGACACGAAAAGATGAAAATGAAGTTGCATAACACGGGAGATCTGTGCAAGTGACGATTTTCAAATAAACTGGACATAATTTCTCTATATAGAAATATCAAATTTCAGATAAACGTTCCATTGCAGGTCTTTTGTCTTCTGCTGTTATATATATGTTCACATAACTGTATAACAATGGCACGTGTCAGGTGCCCCACAACAGAAAACGCAGCAGGGAGTTTGACGCGAATACAGACAAGGCTGCCCGTGTACAGTCTCTGATGATATTCCTAGATATTTTGGGATGGACTCTGCATCAGACTATAATTGAGAGCAAGAAGACAGGGAGACGTTCCACTGATGAGACGAGTCTATGAGACCTGGATTTCAAGGATGATTCATATTTATTGTCATACAAACTCGAAGACTTACAGGCCAAAATCAACAAACTGGTGGAAGAAGCAGCAAGGACATGACTTCCAGTGGATGTAGAGAAGACAAAGGTGACGAAGATATACACGTAACAAAAAAACAACAAGCACCGATTACTATCGACGGTATAAACTTGAAAGAGGTTACTTTCATCACTTATCTCTGTGGCATTGTTTCAACTACAGGTGGAGTGGATGAGGATGTCACAGGCAGAATCAGAAAAGCAACAAAAGTCTTCATCACTCTGAAATCAGTCTGGAAATCTTCCGCGCAAACCATAAAGAATAAAATTCAGAATATTTATAGCAAAGTTAGCGTCTGATGAGAATTTTTACCCAATTGTTCAATGTTTTATTTCTTTTTTACAAAGTTTTGAGTCACTTTTTTATTTCTTATTTCAGCGTACAGCTATTAGAAATGTTAAGAATTTAGCCAACAAGGGATATTTACTGGTTCATGGAACTGCTGACGGTAAGTACCAGGGTATGACTATTTAACAGTCTGTCTATCTGGTCAAAATAACTTATTCTTGATTACACAGGCTATTTTATGTGTACTGAAAGTTATGTCTAACAGTAAATGGTATCTATCGGCTACTACTATATATGGAATAAGCATAGTATGTTTCAGAGAAACTGATTACCTGTAACCTAAAAGTAATAAGAGGGAGGTTTATATCAGAGGAGACCTATAGAAATGCCTCACTAGTAAGTAGGTTGAATAATATGATTTATTTCAATAGATAGATGAATTATGATGAATGCTTCATGCTACGTAGTCCAGTTAACTACCTGCCACTTGACAAGTGTTTAACACTCGCAAGAGTTGGATTGTAGGGATTCCATTGATTTGTTACAGGATTTCATGATGAACTGACATTGGTTAGATAACCACTGAGAGTACTGCACAGCTGTTCCGTCCCACTTCGGGACTCTTCATTGGGACGCAAACACCGGGATTCAAACCCAGTACCTTCTGAATACAAGGTGAGATCGTAGAACATTAAGCCACTGAGACCCGATCCAATGGCACATGAATTCTAACTTCTACCTATTCAAGACATAGCGCGACCGCTAGCCAATATCTTCGGCGACTATTTGTCCTCACATCCAACCTGCTGCACCCTACTGGTCACGAATTCTCACAAGAACCCCACGTAACTACCTACCTGAATAGGGTAAGTAGCCAGTGAGCATCTCATCGATAATGAAGTGTTGGTTAACTCGCCTTGTAACCAGAAGGTCCTGGGCTCGAATCTCGGTGGGTGCGTACTGATGAAGAGTCCCAAACTAGGGTGAAACAGCTGTTCAGTACTCCCCGGTTTTCCAATGGTTATCTAACCAATGTCAGCTTATGATGAAATCCTGTAACCAAACTCTTGCAAGAGTTTCAACATAACCCGAATAATTTAACATCTTAGTGAATTTTATCGGTACAATGAGAGGTTCATATGGATTCTGCATGGTTGCTGAGGCAGCCTTATGAAGAATGTTATTATATAATGCAATGGACATGAGATAGCACCTTAAAATGACTAATTTCTAGCCGTTAACCTAACGCTACTAAACGAGAGAGCTGCAGCTGATCTTTAGTTTGTGTTCTCCTCGTTTTGTGGGTTCACTCAGACACTGGATGCTCCATGGGCTATTCTGTTTCGCTAGCCAAAGTTTCAGCTTCTATGAAGTTACATTTCAGAAACAGCATGATAGATATTTCAGGAATAACAGTGGTAATTATCAGCAACGCATCATAAACTGGGTTTTGGGGGTCACTCTAAACTATAGCAGCCCAAAAAGAAACTGCCTAATCAAGACCTTGACAAATCTCTATTGACCAATCAGATGCATCAGAAGTAAAAGCGCTTGATTTGAAAAAAATGTTTATATAAAAGTAATGCAGTGTGAAAAAAATTGTTACGTAGGATAACGTTCTTATATATGTCAGCTTACACTATTTTCTGTAGATAAATTCGTCAAAATAACTGTAAATCATGGTGTTTCTTGACCCACTCACCACTCCTATCCTCTTTTTAGGTGACTTCAGAAACTTTCGATGGGATTTTTGTGAGTCCCATTGGAAAGATTAACGAAATCGTCCTTATGAGTGACCAAATTATGTTAGTAGCTCAGGGATAACAGTTGGCGACACGTGTTCTCTCTTTCAATGAGCCTGTCGTCTAAGCAGTACTTTGAAATTTGCCGCGTTACTCGTGTAAAGCATCCATAATTGAGCTCAAAGTCATTAATCCATTCATTAGGTAGTTTCTTCTGAGGTTTCTACAGCTTAGAGTCACTGGTTTTTCATTTGAATGCCTAAGTTAGACTTAAGGTAGATAACTTCCTGAATCCTTGAAAATTAATTTGTGTGGAAAATGATCTGAGACCACCATTCTTGTGGTTTATCTCCATACTCAATGCCTGATCTCTTATCATTCATCAACTTTCACCTCAAGACTGTACAGAGTTAATTTCGTGAATTTTGCTACGATAATGAGGGTCAGTTTTCCTATTGTTCTCATTTTCCTGAAAATATAATTAAAGTTACCTCTTTTGTGATTGTTATAATTCACTATTAAATGATTACGACAACGAAGATGAACTTGTTCTGTATTAAAGCTAGATAGGTATATAACAAATTTACGAATGCTTCCATTATACAAATGCCCCACTAATCATGCGACATTTTCAAGACCAATTACAACATAAAATAGGAGCTGTTAAGACGATTATTCCTCACTTTTTATTGGTGAATGGTGATTAGCATTGGAATCGTAGATGCTCATTTCAACTGTCCTATTTGAGACTCGTCAACTAGATGGATGTACTTACATTCCCCAGTCAGTGAGTGATGATGTTCTCACCAAGGCTCGAACTCAGTGTCCATAGTTTCAAACGCCAAAGTGTTATCCACTAGACAACTTAGGCGACGAGATTCACCTCTTGTGCAACGGGTTATATTAATTATTTAATTGCATTTTAGATTTTCCCGTCGATTGATTGGAACGGAGTGAATCTGCACAAGTAGCTGACATGTCAACCTGAGACCAAGCAATTTGATCCAGTCAGCTGACGGGAAAATCTAAAATTCAATTAAAGATTATTCCTGACGACTTAAAAAATTATGGAATGGATTATTCCAATAACTTACCGAAAAGGTGCACAAAAAATCAGTGACTCGATGGCTGAAGCGAAACTTCGTAGCGGTTAAAACATCTACTTATAGTTTAATTTAAAGTGGAAATATTCCACATATGAGCGCATATGAAAATCATTTGATTCTCAACAAATCTTGAAATCAACTGAATGATCAGAACTTCAAATCAGTTGAAAGTCGTTTTAGTTATCCCAGAAATCGATGCTTTTAGACTTTCAATAGTACCCGGTTTTTAGACTAGGAAAATGTAAGTTCAGTAAGTTGATTATTCATCAGTCACTGAGAATTTCAACAAGAGGTTTAACAAACAAAATATCACATAATCAATACAATTTCATCATTTTCCTCTTTTCCCGCATAGATAATGTCCACTTGGTTAACACAGCTAGACTGATAAAAGATCTGATTGCTGCAAGTGTTGATGTCGATGTTATGGTAAGTCACACCTGGAGTTGCTTTTTTATCTCTCGCTTTCTGATTTCTTTTGCGTGATGTTGAATACATCGATGGTTCATTGGTATAAAGCTCACGAACAACGCCGAAAGGTTCGGAGTTCTATTCCGGGCCGATGTACTCCTAAAATTTCCCACTAAACTCGCCAATAGTGAGCCAGGAATATGTCGAAGGTAGGCAGTGAAACCGGCAGCTCAGCGCTACAAGAAGCAGCCTCGGCATTGCCAAGAATCCTAAAGCCCAAAGCCTATCCCAAACAAATTAATTCCAATCATGCTGGAATTGTTTGACTGCTGACATTTTATACTACAAGTCGAGAAACGTCGATGCATGTGGGTATGTGCACCAAGAGAATAAACCACAAATCCTGCTGATACCTGTTATCGAAATCTTTTACATCTTTTTTTTATTCTTTTACGTTCCCAGTGGAACATACGGCTTCAAGCTAGACGCTTGATGTTTCAGCAGCAGTAGTGTTTATTTTTTACAGGATGGGTTCGCTAGCCTCATGCACAACATTCCTTCCTCACCAGTTTTATTACCGGCTTAGCGATGTAAAGGAGTGCGTCGGCTGGGGGTCAAACTCCGGACCACTTGAGTGGTTGGTGAGCATCCTACCACTATGCAATCGACCCAAGGTAAGACAAATAATGTCATATACATATAATAGTTTATAGAATACCTAGATCATTGGAAAGAGATGTAAAATTAATAGGATTATTAGACGATTAAAACGTTGAGTAATATGGTAAGAAGTTTGACAACGAAGAGTTTGACATTGTCAAATAATGATTCATTTAAAACAGTAAGTGGAACAAGTGAAACAATACGGGAAACCGTTCAAAGTGAGAGTAGTAATAACAGTTCTAATAGTTAGGGAAAGTTATATAGATTAAATAGGCAAAACTAAAACAAAATGAATAAATGTTTATCCCCCTTCAGCCAAGGGAGAAATAGACACTTCACATACATTTCTACCACACAGAGGCCTGGCTGGAATTCATGAAGGCTTAAGGCTTCCGCTGTTTTTAGAAGTTTAGGTCAAAGAAAATGCGTCAAGTTAACGTGAACTCGTTAGGTGGTCTCAGAATGGTGGTTAGGTTTGGTTGGATGATAGGAATTGGTCAAGTGTTCTAGAATACAGCTTCGCACACCCTTCCTTTCTCTCCTTTGTACAAATATGCTGAGATGTTTCCTGGTATCTGCACAGAAAGCATTTTCTCGCTACGTCCTATGCACCTTGGTCAAAAAGAGCAGGTGGAGTGACAAATGTAGTGATTGCCTCAAATAAACTAATTTCTGTTCGAGTCAAAATTGTTCAGAAAAAACACTTTTTTACTGTTTGGTGGTCGTTCATTTTGAGTACTTCTCGATTTGACTAGTGATTAACCGGTAGACGAAAAGTGTGTTGACTGACACTTTTCGTTCAAGTTTGTATGACATACAGTATTGATTTAGTCACCTAGTGGAAACATTTTGGCGTTATAATAACGATGGATGCTATGTTTGACTTTCAGTGGGGACCACTCTCGAACAGAATGAAATACATATCCCAATTTCCAGCACTAACCGCTCAATAAACGAAAATAGTGTAATTGTTTTTAGGATGACGGTGATAATTTTGATTGTAACATTTAGTTGACAGTGGAATCCAATATGCTCACTTCGTCTTATTTCGGACTAGTCATCTGGATGTACCTGCATTCCCCAGTGAATGATGATGCTCTCACAGAGACTCAAGCTAAGCATCCATCCTTTTAAATGACAAAGTATTATTCACTTGGCCACAAGATCAATGGTGAGTGCAGGGTTCGAGTCCTCCTAGGAACGCAGTCACCGACAAGTTCGAAAAAGAATGAAATGTGCATCGTGAATTGCACTACCAGTCATCGTTCACCAAACAGGATTATGTTAAACTTCAAACGTCAAAAAATGGTAGTACTAGGAGCAGAAGTGTCAGCAGTTAGGACAAACATTTCGGTCCCTTCAATCAACAGGAAAAATAGTCATGAAGAAAATAAAAGACAAATTCAACGAAGAAAATTTTCTTTCTTGAAGAAATCATCTTCAGAGGCTGTGCAGACATATTTTGACTTACCAAAAATATAAAGTGGCCTATTATTGAGTAATAAGTGGTGACATAATTGATATAATTAATCGGAAGTGGCTTCAGAAGTAAATATTATAAGTTATAAATTACGTGGTGCTCAGCAGCACAAAGATAGAAATTTGATAAGGTTAAAATTGCTAATGAATGAGAATAAAGGTAGTTGAGTGTCAATTTAACAAGAGTGAAGAGGGTGTGAAATGTACAAAAGGAGCATATGAGAGTGATAATAGTGAATTAATTATTAAAGCAAAAGCGAACTAAAAGTAAAATTAAAAAAAGAAAAATCAAAATGTTATACGGGGAACGATTAGTGAAGAAGTTTAGACTCAAGGTAGAATAAGAGACTGGACAAACTTTTTCTGTTTGCGGAATTCGGGATTGTATTGACGAATTGCCAACGCCTCCGCCATACACAAAAGCGGAAACCTGACACCCTTTGCACCATTTGGCCTCACCTTGTAGATGATCTTGAAAGACGACTCTGGTGGAGCTATGTGGCCTGAGTTCACCAAATGCTCGAGAATTGAGCTAGTAATTATCTTGCATTGTCCTTTTGCCAACCATGCCGGATAATCTTCAGAGATGCGTTTGAAAAGCGTGCGCTTTGTGCGGCCAATATAACTAGCTCCACACGAGCAGGTGAATTTATAAACACACATTTAGGTGGCCCGTCCAAAACGGCAGTTTATTCTTCACACATACACTGATCATTTGTCAGCTGTAGACATTAGCTCAGTCATAGAGAAGGCTTTCCTCATTGATCTGCATAAGCGATTCATCAGCATCTCAACTGCGGTATCACCTTTAAATTCATCACTCATAAATGACAGTTTCTTTGGCACCGTCTGGGTTCTTTCAGGCTTTTCCCTTAACTTAATGTTTTTCTCGATAAATCTTGGAGGATACCGAGATAAAGGAAATGTTTTTCGTTGAATTTGTCTTTTATTTTCTTTAGGAAAAATAGTATTGACTTAAACAAATAATATTGATATTTTTGGCGGGACATTAGTCAGTAACTAGTGTTCAATCATATTATCGAATACAGTCTTACAGAAGGTAAGTCGCAAGTCCGAATAGCTCAATAGTTATATCTCTGAATGCAGCACTGGGTGACGTGGGTTCAAATTCCAGAATGGAAATTAGTTCCTTCAGGAATGCAGATGCGCTTTGATGACTGTTGAGTACCAGCTAGCATGAAACTTAGGTGCGAGACTTCCTGTCGTCTGCCTCCAACCATCCAATGCCAATAATGATTTTTCTGTTTATTCTTCTATTTTGTTCATTATTGTGTTTTATTCCTCTCACTAACAGATTTATCCGGATGACAATCATTTCCTGTCCAAAGGAAGAAATCTTGAACATCTCTATCGTAAAATGACAATATTTCTACTCGATTGTTTCAATAAAACCTCAGTGAAATATTCATTAGATTTATCAGTTAAAGATGATCTGTAAATGAGGAGAAGAGTATCTGAAGACAGACAGAGAGAGAGCATGGAAGAAGAGTCCAGTGTCCGACCCACACATCCATACAAGCAGAAACTTGTCAACTTTTAAAAGATGTTAAAACTTTATCTTATTTTTTACATTCACAATTTCTTCTATTTTTTTTCCTGGTGTTTTAAAACCACACAAAAAACCCACTCTATCCGTATATTTCTTTGTATAAACACTATTATGGTTATTATTATTATTTAATCTTAGTTTATAAAAGGATAATGGTCATGCTGTCTGACTTGTCTGATTTGTTAGTGGGAGACATTTATCCTAAATCAGATCACATCAAATCGGATCAAGTGTGTAGATATTAAACAAAGTTAGCTTGCCGTGATACACACATACACATGCATATATAACTAACTAACTAACTACTCTTTCTTCCTAGGCAGTTATGTGATGATTATTTAATCTTTATTATTATTATTATTACTATTATTACTGATCTTTTTATGAACTCTCAAATACCGAATATCAAATCGAAAGAAAGCAAATCAAGAGACACAAGAAGAAAGATTGAACCCAACCCTATTTCATAATGTGTAAAACTGTCGGCAATATTTGGATTGCAATATATTCTTCAGTCAAGTGTATGTCATATCCACACTGTCACACATGCATACACGCGATATATGGCTACGTAAACATGCATAATTGAGAAATTATGTGTAATCATCTTATTGTGTAGAAGTCTGTTTAGTTGCCCTTATCCTTCTCCTTCTTCTTCGTTTTCTTCTGATTCTTTCATTTAGTAATTTTACTTTTTTCCAAATTATTTCTCTTTCGTTTTTATCATGATTACTGTTAATGTTCCTTTTTTATATACATATACATATATATATATATAATTATAAATTGTGTGAGAGAAATAAATGTTCTCCTTCCAAATGTTGGTTTGCGGCGATTCGATTGATTACGCATTTGGTCACCAGGTGAAATCGGTTAGAGAACTATTGAAAACCAATATGGAAGACCGAAGGTCTACTTCGCCTTCAGCAGTCCTCACTGACGACCGGCGTTCAAACCCCCTAACCTCCTACTTACATAATGAGCTCATGGATTACTCAGCCATTGCGAAATGGTCTGATGACCTGTGAATTCCAAGTTCTTCTTCAATCCGTCACCCCGTAATTGTTCTCTTAACACCGTGGATACGACTTCTGAATAGGATGACAAGTAACTCCGTATATAGAGGCAGTCACATTCTACTTTCACGTTTTTTGGTGTATAGGGGCTAGCATTGGAATTGACAATGCCCAGTTCATCCTTGGTAGAGGAATAGAACTTGTGCACTGTGATATAGAGTATAATTCCATTGTGGGTAAAATTTATTTTGATAAAGTCTCACAGTGTTATACAGTAATATTTACTGATGGCCACGTTTCCAGAACAATTTGTTTCTGCTCACAATCATATCAAGGTACTCACACAACTTTCTAACTTCGTTTATGTAATTCCATTATTTCAATTCATCGCTTGACTTGATTGGTAGTAGTATTTTCCATATTTCCGGTATGAGTGATGAGTCATTCCTATTGCACGTATTGGGTGTAGACTCCGTGAATAAGGATTCATCGAGTCTATTCATCGAATCTACACCCAATACGTGCAATAGGAATGACTCATCACTCATACCGGAAATATGGAAAATACTACTACTAATCAAGTCAAGCGATGAATTGAAATAATGGAATTACATAAGCGAAGTTAGAAGGTTGTGTGTGTAATGCGTTGATATGATTATGAACAGTAACAAATTGTACTCGGAACGTGGTCATCAGTAAATATTACTGTTTAACACCACTGTGAGACTTTGTCAAAATTAATTTTTCCCAGTTCATCCTATTTTGGGCGTGTCAGCTGGATGTACCTTCAGTGTCCACCGGTGTGATTTAAACTCAGTGCCAATCGTTTCAGATACCGAATTGTTATCCACTAGGCTACTTAAGCCACTGGCGCCATCACAAAACAGACTTGCACAAATTCTCCTTTAACGACTAATCATTTTGACCCCAACGGATCACACATTATTACGTTTGCATAATAATGTATTACTGTGCGGAATAAAAAAAGTGCACATTCGATCGAGCAGCTTGGCAAGAAATCGAAAGTAATAGATCACAAACCGGAGATGGATAATATATAATGGCTAAAGTAACACAATACACAGAAAACTCTTATTAGAATATATTATTGTTGACTGTTCCTCTGTGTTCCGAGTGTTTAACATACGCTTCAATAGCACACCCCTACTATATCGTACTCTGTGCAGTCCTCTTTAGTTGATCGCATGATTTACCACTGGGCTATGATCTCCTCCACTTGTTACCTCCTCCATGTCATCCTCGGACCCGCGTCTATCTCATCCTTTTCCACTCAGGTTTCACTTCAGCCATAACCCAACATTTGATGCCAACCGATGGTACCATCATTTACTTCGTTGCCTTTTTAACAGCTGCTCACAGCCCAAAGACATTATTAAGAATGTCTACAGAAACGATTTCAACATGCTTGCACGAAGAGCTTATTTTTCAACGAAAATCAATCAATATATCCATACAATGCTAATAATAATAGTAATGATCACTTTATCCTAAACAATAATAATCATACCCAATGGAAAATTTCGGCGTTATTTAGTCAGATGAAAGACAGAGGATGAAAACATCCAGTTACCTGGCAGGGCAAGGAAAGACTGATAACCGCTGCTTCCTGAGCGCATAAATTGGGTTTCAGGCGCTTGATGGAGGTCGCCTAGGTAAACGTAAGGAGAAGTGAACTCTTTTGCCTCTTGATAATTTTGAACGATCTTGCGATGTCACTATTTTAAGCATTTGTTCCCTTGAGACATAGGCTTTTTGGTACATGTTCATAAAATTGGAGATGTGCCCTTCTTCCTGTTCTTCCAATGTAAATGCTCACGCAGATATATGTAAATTTGCATACACAGTTGAAGTTAACATGAGAACGACATCTGTCGACTTTTGATTACAACAAAGAGCATGTTGTCTGATAGACAAGAACCGACTTAGCTGCAAAATAGGCTGTGGCTAGTGACGTCCTCAATCTTCTGTTGACGATCGCAGCAATATTTTCACTTTCAAAATCGAGCTAGATGAAGACAAGCTTTTTTCCCAGTGTGATTTGTTTGACGTTTGAGACTTCACATCATCCATATTCGCTAATGAACCTTTGAGGGTAACCGTTGTTTCTCAACATCTTTTCGAGAAACATAAATTCTTCCTCTAATTTCTTTGTAGAGCATATTCTCCTCGCTCTTCAGTATAGAGTCTTGGCTAGTCCACGTTTATAACTATTTGGACAAAATCTATTAAAATGTAGGTAAAGTTCATTCCATGTCTGCTTTCGGTAAATTGACCTCCGGAGACTACCATCTAAGCGCTGCATAGCAGTGTCGATCAAATGAAACATCCCATAGTAAACTCACTATTGGCATATGAGTAGTTGAACAATCTGAGTAGGTAGGAAACATGACTTTCGTTGATGCACACTACAAATGTGCCATCGACATATCGACAATAAGAAGTTATTTCGTCAGTTACATGCCTCAACTTTGTTCTTTCAAGGTTGGACATGAAGATATTTGCTAAAACAGGGCTAAGTGGACACATCAGCGGATATTGAAGTAAAAGTCTTCATCAATGTCTCACTTATAAAAGCTGGTATGCCGAACGGGGACTGACAATTTCAGCTGTCAGGAAATGCACAACATTACTCTGACAGTTAATTAAAAATATGCGAGATTTCATGTAGGTAACCCAATTCATAACTGAATGTTTGAAACAATAAGACACTGAGAAGAGTCTATGCATTATGGAAAATAAAATAGGACAGAAAAAGACACAAAATCGCACTCACAAAATGATAACAGTTACCAGTTTGGTGAGAGATTATAGTCAGGCCTTATCCTGTATTCCCTTTAGTGAACAAAGGGAAGGAGTATTCACAAGGACCATAGAAAGAATCAAAGCTGTATTGAAGAGAATATCTTCCGCCACCGGACGCATTCCACTTTACAACGGAGAATACTCATTGACTTAGCCTAAAGCAGATGAGTATTCTGCTCATGTCAACGCCAACTGCATTTACTAATTCACCTGCATTTAGAAGTGCAAGTACTAAGGATTTTCAGAGCATATCTCTAAGTGTCTCCCTATGAAAGACAGCAAACTTTTCTCCATTGTAATAGCCACACATCTAATTGACACGAGAAATGCAGTGGAAATTAGTGAGTCTTTCAAAACAACCAACACATACACACAAAGAAAACCATGATTGCTTCGGTTCACAGTAGCCAATGCTATCAAAAGTCTTTGACTCAACCTCTGTATACAGAGAGATGTTGTGCCCAATCTCTCACTTCTCCATCGGTTTTAATCATCATATATGGCTCAAACCAATGAAAGTTCATAGATTTCATAGATTAATGCCTGTTTCATCTTGTCAGCGTATTTGTAACAGAGTGAAGAGAACAATACTGTATCTCACGTTATCCCGTTTACTCATAAGGCGATTTTGTTATTCCTTCATGTTTCCAGTGGAACATAAGGCGCCTTCAAGCCAGAGGTTTGAATTTTCTGTGCCAGTGGTGATTATTTTTACAGGATGGGGTTGCTGGCCTCATGTCCAACCTTTCCTCTTTATCAGCTTTATTTCTGACCTAGCGAGGTAAAGCAGTGTGTCAGCCAGGGATTGAACCCCAAACCACATTGGGCGTAATTGGCAAGCATTCTACCTCTGCGCCACCGAAGCCATAAGACGGTAAGCTTACATATTTCAAAATGCCAGCGATAATATCAAGAAAAATCAATATTTTCATTTACATCAAGTGTTATTCAGCTAAACAAAGAATACTGTTTACATCAACTTATCATTTACAAAGGCTAGGGGAATCAAAGACGGCCAAATCTCGCAAAATGAAGAAGCGAATTTTGTATATACAAGTTTCACATATACATATATGTTGTAAAGTCCATCAAGGAATCATCTTTCCATCCAACTGTCATGAAACGCTGTTGTCAAATGAACCAGACTTCATTGACTGGCACTCTTAATAGTTTTCTTTTCAGGATATATATCATATAATCTTCTAATTGTTCCTGTTATCAAATCCCCATAGACCATTGAATAGGGTACAGTTTTATCAAGTCTTTCCAAATCATAAAATGTTTTATTCCAGCCAATTTCTCGATGTTTACCTAATCGACAGGATTTATCAATTCGTCGTGTAGGATACATCCATGTATCAGAATTCTGTGAGAATTCATTCGATGACTCAATACTATGATAATGTCTTGGCATCAATTCCACGCCTTGATAACGTATAGAATATTGATCTAGACCGATTAGACTGAACAGCGGCTGGATAGATACACGCTGTAGCGAGATAGTTATCCAACCATCATCTTCTGGTTTCACCGATGGGATTTCACATCCCCATTCAGGTAGATCATAAGATGTGGATTCTTTGAAATCTGATGAATTAATATAAGTAATATTAAGGGTAGAAGGAGCAGTCATATCAATAGGATTATCAGTGGTAGCGTTTCGCTCCTTAATATACTCCTTCAAAAGTAACGAAGCCGGTTTCATACCAATATGATCAGCACGTGGTATATAGCGTACACCAATGACTGTATTACATCCAGCACAAATCACATTACAAGCAGCATGATGTATTTTATCATTCAGTTTAAATATATACGGTAATTCAGCGATTAATGCTTCATCTATATTATCCTGAATTTGTTTATTCCGCTCTGGGTTGCTTCTCTGATTTAAACAAGCCTCACTATTGAACATTGAATCGCTTGACCTTGATCTACTTCGTGGTTTAACATGAATATTGATAGCATCTTGTAAAAATATTGCCATAAAATATCGATTATCTGTCTCGTGAATATTTAGATTTTCTCGCAGTATTCTGTTCTGATTATTATTATTGTTGTTATTATTATCATTGCAATTATTATTCCGATTTTTTTTAATCTTCATATGTTCATAAACTAATCTTTGTTTCTGTTCTATGGTCATGTCAGTGTGATTATCTATCCCGGGAATTACAAAAAGTCGAATAATTTCTTTATTTATTTCATATAGCTTATTTAGGTTTGATTCAATATATGCTGTAGACATAGTTACATAACCAAAGGGTAGCCCGCAGATATTACATGTTATTCGTCGACGATCATTTAATTTTGAGTAGGATGGCATAGTGGTTGAGATAGGCAGGGGACACTTGATGGGTAAAGGATCCATTGGAATTCGCTAATCTGTTGGCTTAAAAAAAAAGCTGCTCAATCACACACTGGTGAAATGTCCAGTGTTTTATGTACATTGAATAATTTAGGGGGATTTAAACTACTGATTATTGATTAGTTATGCCTGAAATAATCAATGAATTACAGTTAGGCTATAGATGTTAGATAATGTATAAGGTATGTCCATTAATTTCAACCTACAGGTTTAATTTAGTGATAACAATAATAACTCATTTCTCTGATGTCTGTGTGGAGGTAAACACTCAGGTCTCAGCGTGAAAAATAAGATTCCGATTTTCAACTCCAATGTGAAGTCAGTGCTACTTTACGGATCAGAGACTTGGCGCCGCGTCACGAAGGCCACTTTGAACAAACTACAGACCTTCATCAACAGCTGTCTTCGCTCAATACTACTCAAGATGAGATGGCTGGCCAGAAAAGATCAGCAATAGGGATCTCTGGCAATGAGTGAACCGACACAGCAGAAACCACTTGTGCAATAAATATGCAGGAATAAATGGAGGTGGTTTGGCCATACTCTGAGAAAACCATCAAGTGACATTACACACCTGTCTCTCTCTTAATTGGAACCCGGACCAATGAGAAGCGGCCAGTTGGTCGTCAGTGTGGGGGTGACATGGAAGAGGAGGAGGTGATGTGAAGAAGAAATAAACGCATGTGGGCAGACATGCAGCCAGGTGAAAACATTGGCAGAGAACCAAACGCAATTGAGACGTGCAGCTGATACCCTATTTTTCTCTAGGAATTAAAGGAAACAATAATAATAACTTAAAGGTGCTCAGACGAAAACCAACAGGTTTTGTAGAATAAGTGCACGGGGAATTAGGGCGGTTCATGGAACAACCTAAAGTGAATTGTCGTAATCTGAACACAACAATCCAATTTGTAAAATCTCAGCGACAATGAAATATGTTATTCCAACGTTTCGTTCAGCAAACTGGTTAGAACTCCATTATGTATAAGATTTTATTTTGATAAATCGCACAGTGTTGTACAGAAATATCAACTGATGACCATGTTTCGAGCACAAATTGTTGCTCATAATCATACAGTTTATCAAAATAAAATCTCATCCATAAGGGAGTTGTACTCTGATTGGACACTACTGACTAGTGTGATGTATCTGGTCCTTCTTTGGTGCAGACTAAATTTTATCAGGCAGGTTTGCAATTTTACCACCATTCTAGGAGCTTGCCATCACGGTGCTGATTGATTTGATGATACTAGATGGTTGGAGGCGATCGACCACAGGAAGCCTTGGACCTAGGTTTCGTGTCAGTTGGCACTCGTCAGCAAGGCGTATCTGCGACCTTTGAGGAACTCATGCCCCTTCTGAGATTTGAACCCGCGTCGGTCAGTGCTGCAGTCAGAGACGTTGCCACTTAGTTATACTCTACCGTAGTGCCAATGTTTTGCAATTGTATCAATAATACAAACTGGTTCGAACTTCTTTAGGGAAATTCTAGATGCGAACAGTTTGAACAGACGGGAAGGTGTGGTGTTATCTGAAGCTGATGGAAAATCCTGATTAATAAATAAAAAATGGATGTGTATCACTAATTAATCATACTTGGTCGAAATTCCCGATTGTCTATATCTTCATATGGAGAGGCTAATAAATGTTTTACAACTGTTAACACACACACACACACGTACACACACCATTGTACACCGCATGTACGCATATATTTTCATACTAGAACAAGGTATTTAAGCGAACAAAATTGTTTTCAATTAGATCTTCTTCATTGATATGAGAATAAAACTTGGGCAGTGTGGTATAGTGTAATTCCACTATGGGTAAATTTTATTTTGATAGAGTCTCACAGTGTTATACAGTAATATTTACTGATTATTATTATTGTTCCCTTGGGTCCCTAGTGGAACATAGGGCTTCAACTGCACGTCTCCACTTGCTTCTGTCTTCTGCTGTACTTTTCACTTGCGTCCATGTTATTCCATACTGTTTCATCTCCTCCTCACACGATCTCCTCCATGTCACCCTTGGACGTCCCACTGGCCGCTTCCCTTTCGGGTTCCACTCAAGCGATGGCCTGACGCGCGATGTCACTCAACGGCCTCCTCAGCGAGTGTCCAATCCATCTCCACTTTCTCCTGCATATTTGTTGGGCGATTGGTTCCTGTCTTGTTTGTTCCCATAGCTTCTTGTTTGTGATTCTTTCCGGCCATCTAATCTTCAGTATGGAGCGAAGACAGTTGTTGATAAAGGTCTGCAACCTGTTTGTATTGAAAATCTGAATTTTGTTGTTGATGCTGAGTGACGAAGATTTCCAGATTGGTTTCAGGTTGATGAATGTGTTTTTGTCGCCTTCCCGATTCTCGATTTGACATCCTCGTCCGTTCCTCCTGTAGTTGAGACAATGCTCCCTAGATAAGTGAATGAAGTAACCTCTTTCAAATCACTCCCGTTGATGGTGATTGGCGCTGGATGTTGCTGCTGTTGTCGTTGTTGTTGGTTGGTTATTTTCATGACCTCTGTCTTGTGTATATTCACCTGGAGTCCTGTCTTTGCTGCTTCTTCGACCAGTTTGTCGGTTTTCGCTTGTAAGTCTTCGATCTTGTGTGACATCAAACATAAATCATCCGCGAAATCCAGGTCTTCTAGGTTCTTCACGTCGGTCCAGGATATCCCTGTCTTCTCGTTTCCCACTGTCTGACGCATAATCCAGTCCACGACAATTAGGAATATCATTGGTGATATAAGCACCCTTGTCTGACTCCTGTGTTTACTCCAAACGCCTCGCTGAGTTTTCCGTTGTGGATCACTTGACATGTGCCGTTGTCGTACATCTGTTGAATAAGGTTGATGAATATTTGGGGTACGCCGTAGTACTCCAGTAGTTTCCAAATTACTTCGTGGCCAACGCTGTCGAAGGCCTTCTTAAAGTCTATGAAGTTGAGATAGAGATTTGATTGCCATTCCATGCTTTGTTCGATGATAATGCGTAGAGTTGCAATTTGGTCAGAACATGATTTGCCTTTCCTGAATCTAGCTTGTCCTGGTCGGAGTTCTGTATCCACTGCTTCTTTTATTCTCTCCAGGATGATGCGACTCAGGATTTTACTTGACGTCGACAGGAGCATGATTCCTCGCCAGTTCTTGCAGTCCTAGGTCGCCCTTCTTTGGTAGTTTCACGAGGTAACCTTTCCTCCAGTCAGTAGGCACCTTTCCCTCTTTCCAGATCTTTTGCAATAATGAAGTCAGCATATCTGCTGTCGTTTCCGGGTCCGCTTTCAGTGCTTCCGGGGGTATTCCATCTGGTCCAGCTGCTTTTCTAGCTTTCAGAAGCTTGATTGCATTCAAGACTTCAGTTATCGTTGGAAGATCGGTGTCAACTTGCAGTTGTGTACGTGCTGCTGTTGGTATTTCTGGACATGTTGTAGGTGGTGGTCTGTTCAAGATTCCTTTAAAGTGGTCCGCCCATTGTTTAATCTGTCTTTCTTCTTCGGTAATTGGGTTCCCTTGGCTGTCTTTTATAGGTTTCACTTGTGTTGATCTCTTCCCGGATAGAGACTTGGTTATCTGATATAGTGTCCTCAGGTCCCTTTTGCCTGCTGCCTTCTCAGCTTCAGTAGCCAGGTTGTCGTGGAATTGTCTTTTGTCCTTCCTGGCACTCTTCTTCACTGCTTTGTCCAGTGCTGTGTAAGTTGAGTTCAGCGTCTCTTTCTCTTGTCCATCTTTGCATTGAATCATTTTCTCTTCCACCTTTCTCCTCTCCTCTATTAGCTTCCAAGTGTCCGTTGAGAGCCATTCCTTGTCTTTTTTCTTCTTTCTTCCTAAAACCGTTGGGCACGTTTCGTTGAAAATTACCTTCAGAGAGTTCCAATGGTCTTCCACGGATGATTCCCCAGTGGTGCCACGTAGTGTTTCCTGCTTTGCTCTGACAGTTGCAGTGAAAGTGTCCTTTGTGGTTGTGTCCTTCAGTTTTTGCGTGTTGAACTTGCATTGTGGCCTATCCCTAGCTATCCTCGAGGCTTTCAGCTTCACCTTGAAAGTCCCTTGTACTAGATAGTGGTCTGAACCCACATCTGCTCCTCTCCTCGACTTTGTGTCCAGTAGGCTCCGTCTCCACTTCCTTGAGATTGAAGTGAAGTCTATCTGGTTTTTGGTGTGTCCATCTGGTGAAATCCATGTTGCCTTGTGTATATCCCTGTGTTTGAACACACTGCCACCAATCACCAAATCATTGAAGGCGCAGAAGTCTGAGAAGAGTTCGCCATTTTCGTTCATTTCACCGAGGGCCTCACGACCCATGGTGAGTTCTCTGCCTGTATTGTCTCCTCCCAGTTTCGCATGTCACCCATCAGGATTTTGATATCGCTCTTTGGGACGTTGTCCATTACTGTTTGTAGTTGACTGTAGAAATCCTCCTTCTTCTCTTTTTCTGAGACGTTTGTAGGCGCATAGCATTGAATGATTGTAACCTTCCTTCCTTTTGAGTTGAACCTGGCTGTCATTATCCTGGAGGAGATTGGTTCCCACTGCATGAGAGCTTTAGCCGCTGTTGGTGACATCATGATGGCTACTCCCTTGGTGTGCTCGTGATTGTCCTCTGGGTGACCGGAGTAGATTATTGTCTCTCCAGTTGATAGTTGGCTCCTTCCACATCCGTTCCATTTGCTCTCGCAGATTACCAACACTTCTATTTTATATCTTCTCATTTCTGCGGCTACCTGAGCACCCTTCCCAGCTTCGTACATTGTACGAACATTCCACGACCCCATCCTTATTTTCGCTTTCATCGAAAGAAGGCACATCGGCTGACTGGCTTCCCGAAGGCTTTCACCAGCCCGCGTCATTTCACTTCCCCGATTCCAGCGAGAAATAAGGTCACTATTTGTAATTTTAGAATTTTGAATATATTTGTGCGTTGAAGTTTTCGCAGCAATTTGGTTAAGTTTTGGGGGTGGAGTTGCTAGCACCACGCCCAAACCCTCCCTCTTTATCCGGGCTTGGGACCGGCTAGAATACTAGTGACCTAGTAATCTAGGAGGAGGTTGTATAACACTGTGAGACTCTATAAAAATAAAATTTACCCATAATAGAT